TAAAGTTAATGATTAGTTTTTCCATCTCTTTAAAGAATGTTGTTGGTATTTGGATCAGGATTGCATTGTATTTGTAAATTGCTTTGGGTAGAATTGTCATTTTCACAATGTTGAGTCTACCTGTCCATGAGCATGGTGTATTTTTCCATTTATGGAGATCCCTTTGGGTTTCTTGCAGTAGTGTTTTGTAGTTTTCTTTGTATAGGTCTTTAATGGTACACCTTAAGCATCAATTGAATGATTGCCTATTAGTCCCTTGAGTGTGTACCATGATTTATTTAGACATTCTCCTATTGTTGGTCATTTGTGGTTATTTCCATTTCCTTGCTTGTTCTTTAATTATAATGTTTAAATGAGTATCAGTATACACAAAGCTTTTTTTTGACATTTCCTCTTATTTCTTTAAATTCCTTGAAGTGAAATTAATGGGTCAAAGGGTGTGACAGTTTGAGACATCATGCCCAATGCTGTACAAAAGAATTGAACCTGTTTTGCTGCTGCCACAAGTGTCTGAGAATGTCCTTTGTACCAAATGAACATCACACTGGATGTTTCACTGTTTTAAATCTTGAAGAATAGATATTGTCCATCTCTGATGGAATCATAGTCTGGCCGCAGAGTGACTTACCTAACATAAGCCACTCCTGAGCTCAGTAGCTCCTGAGCACCACCCGAGACCTTCTTCTTCTCTCTCCCCATCCCCCTCGTCCCTGATGCTAATCCAGCACAGTCTTCGGGTTCTGTTAGATCTAACTTCCTCATACATCTCTGGTCTCTCTTTTTCTCCCCATCACCCAGCAGAGATGAGGTGGAGTTGGCTTATAAAAGATGTTCTCTAGCTCTAAGGCCTCCCCCTGCCACTTTGCCTCCTGTCCAGAAGACCTAAGGCCTCTGTGTGCCTTCCACTTTGGCTGATTCTCACAACTTTTCCTCCTTTTCTTCTCCAGTTCTACAGCAAGTCGGGCATGCCCACCAAACACCTTTCAGACAGCGTCTGTGCTGTGTGTGGGCAGCAGATCTTTGTGGATGTCAGTGAAGAGGGCATCATCGAGAACACATATAGGCTGTCCTGCAATCACGTGTATCCTGCCTTGAGCTCCTGGGCTACATCTCTCCTGCCATATATATACTCCAGTCAGGGAGGGAAGGGGGTGGTTGTGGCCCTGGACATGCTATCCAGACCTTTGAATGTCAGAGAACCACAGGAGGGCAGAAATTTGGGTGATATGTCTTGCTGGAGAAGGGGTCCCTGGGTGGTATAAACTGTTAACACGCTCAGCTGCTAACCGAAAGGTTGTAGCTTTGAGTCCACCCAGAGTTATCTCAGAAGAAAGGCCTGGAATCTACTTCCAAAAAGTCAGCCATTGAAAACCCTATGGAATACAGTTCTACTCTGGTACACATGGGGGTTGCCATGAGTTGAAATCAACTTGATGGCATCTGGTTCTGGGTCCTTGCTAGAGAAGATGACATCCAGGAGTGGAAACTTCAGCCTTCCTCTCCCTTTGCCATGGATTAGAGCCACCTTATGTAAACATTGGTTATAGCCTGGCTAGGTCAGAAAGGAGTGTGAGGCTGTACTAGCTGACCCAAGATTGGATCCATCACAGGAGAGTAGGATCCTCTAACTGGATCCCTCAGTTTTTAGAATCAAACCCCTAGAATAACACTTCTGATATCATATATTTACTCAGTTCCCATTCGGTGACTATGTTGGGAGATTCATTTATTATCTCCATCTTGCCTCATAACAAACCCATTATCCTCACTTCACACATGAGGAAAAAGGTTCAGAGAGAAGAGTGCCCAAGATTACACAGCTAATAAGAAGTGAAGCCAGGATTTGGACATTTCTTCAGAGGTTGTGCACAGGCTCCTTGAAGACTGCCATGGGGCTGGAGTGCCATCCTAGCTGCCTACCATTTCCTTGACCAGTGGTGCTTAGATTCCACGAGTTCTGCATCCGCGGCTGGTGCATTGTGGGAAAGAAGCAGACGTGTCCCTACTGCAAAGAGAAGGTAGACCTCAAGAGGATGTTCAGTAACCCGTATCCTTTGTTTGGGTCCTTGCTGGGAGTTGGCAGTGGGAAGAAAGTACTGGCTAAGACTTTCAAACAAAAACCTTCAGTTTTGAACATTAGAAGAATCTTAGAGTTACCTTATCCCTGCGTTTGCCTGGGACCCTGCCTCCTGCCCCCAACCTACTATGGCTTCTGTTCTAGGGAAGTTAGGGGTGGGACATGGGACAGGACTAGCAGCTCAGCTTCCCACCAAAATTCTGTATCCCTCAAGGGTAAATTGATTGTAATAGCAGCTGCCATTTACTGCTTGCTTACTGTGTGCTAGTTACTGTGTCGAGTGCTTTACTTGGATTAACCGATATGATTCTCCAGCAATTCTCTAGTAATATCATCCTCATTTTCCAAATGAAATGGTTTAGGTTGAGTAACTTGTTCAAAAATTGCATACTAATGAACCATGCCTTACCTATGACATGTAGTACTAGAGACCAGTTCAGTGCCTGTGCAGGGCCTGCAAAGCATGGGGAGAATTGAGGGGCCCCATTCCCCTTCCACTTTCCACTTTCAGAGTCTGTGCTACTCTGAGCCAGCCCTCCCCACTTTGGCTTCACCCTCCTCTTCCTCCTCACAGCCTGTCTGTTGGAAAGTTCCTAGCCGCTCTTCTGGCCCCACCTTCAGTTCTCCTGGGATTCAGGGACCCAGCCTTCTCCCTGTCTTCTCCCAGCTGCTCCCTGTTACCTACTCACTAGCTGTGCTGTGCGGGGGGAATACCATGTCCCCAGCCTACTCTCATAGTCCCTGAATAGAAGCCTCTGGCCCATCTCCTTTAAGGTTCCCTGCTTGGTTCCTCCAGGCCCTAGTTTAGGAACAATTAAGTAACTCCGTGGTCATGCTGAGGCTTGGGGCTTCCCCCAGTTCTCAGGAAACGATTGTGGTCTTTTTGATGCCTTTGGAGCAGTTCCCCCACAGGTGTAGGAACTTCTCTCCGTACTTTCCCCAGACTGGGGCTCCCCAGACCCCTGTTCCTGGTCTCTTGCCCAGCATTAGCCACAGGACAACTCCAGGGCCGCTTGGCCTCAGTTGGGCCTGATGCTTAATGCCCCTGGTGGGGACTCCTTAGAGCCTCTGCTAGGGGTTGTCATCCCTTTGTGACTAGCCTGTTGGTCCCTCCTCCCTTCTGGCTCTCTACATAAACTCAGTCCCTTCCTTAGAAAACCTTCAATTTTGAACATTAGAAGAATCTGAGGGGTTACCTTATTCCATTCCTCATGTATTATCTCCAGTTTGCCTCATAATGACCCTATACAACAAGGGTCATTATCCTCACTGCAGCCATTGTCACAGATACATTTACAGCAGTCTCAGGCTGTATTTTTTACCACTGGCAGTCAGCTTAGAGACAGTGTTACATGGGAGGCCCTCCCTGCAAGTTGGTATAGAGAGCTCGTTTTCACCTTTCTACCTCTCATGTCTGTTCTGTTCTCCGCACCAGCCCCCTTTGCCATCCTTCCCCCACTCTCTGGGTTCAGCCCTTCTTTCCAACATAGAGAGCTGATGAGAGGCTGGGTGGACCCTTCTAGAAAGTAGTTTCCATTCCTCATAGGCTGATTTCTGTGGGCCGATACAGAGAAGACCTGGGGACACTCTCCCACCCACCCCCTAGACCAGCCATAGCAGTTCTTACATATAACCTCTTCTTTAACACACTGACAGCTGGGAGAGGCCTCATGTCATGTACGGGCAACTGTTGGATTGGCTTCGATACCTGGTAGCCTGGCAGCCTGTCATCATTGGTCTGGTACAAGGCATCAACTACATCCTGGGCCTGGAATAGTTAGGAAGAAGAACTTCAGAGAACCCACCCCACCCACCATGGACCTCAGGGCACTCTCCTCCCTGCCCACAAAGACCTCCTGGGTGGGAAAGACTCAAAGGGGCGCTTGGGCCACTCAGGACCCCCTCCGGCTGTGTCCGGGCTGGGGAGGGATATGATGGAGAGCCAGCCAGTGGGCTGCCAGCAGTGGGGAGCTTTTTAAAAGAAAAATATTTTGATGAATATATTTAAAAAATCCTTTTTTATTGCAGAGCATAGAAATTGCCCCCAACTCCTCCAGGCCTCACCCTCCCTGCTTGAGCAGGGTGGAGCAGAACCACATTTTTTCTTTAAAGGGGCCTTCTCATCTCTGGTTAAGGGTACTGGTGGGTTCTTGGGTAGCTGAGGGCCTCAGCCCATCCACTCCCCTTTCCTTTCTTCTGTGGGGCTCAAGGCTGGTACACTCAATATGGGTATCAAAAGAGCTTAGACTGGTGCAACAGACAAGCACTGAGAGGTGAAGTGTCCTCTTTTTCCCTGTCTGGAACAAGGAATGGGTGTTGTATCTGAATCTGTCTCCCCCTGTTCAGGAGCTGTAGGCTCGTTGAGGCAAGCGGAGTCTTGTAAGTGACGTTTTAAACAGGAAGCCCTGGGGCCTCAGAAGTCAATGAGGATTTGTTTTGGGGCAACCGGAAGCAGCAGCAGCACGGATAACCTGCCCCTGCACAGGGCTGTACTCAGCCAAGAACAGAGCCCATCTGTAGTTGGGCCATGGGGGCTACTGTTGGCAGCAATGATTGAGGGCCCCTTGTGCAAGCGCATGCTTCAACCTGGGAAGTGGTGACGTGCCAACGGCCACTCTGGTAGGCTGCCACATTACTTCCTTCTCTGAAGGCCAAGTGAGTGTGTATGTGCGCATGCAGAGACAGTGACAGATGTGGAACTTCTCCCTGTCGTCAGTCCGCTCTTGAAGCTGCGGGGGATTCTCAGCCCAGGGAATACCCCATTGTGAGCCTCGTTACCCATGGATCTTGCCCAACCAGACAGGCAGCAGGAGTGGTGGGTGGTAGGAAGAGGGATAAGGCTGGGTGAGCCTGTGTTCTGAAAAGGAGCTTCCAGGCAGGCCCCAGCCCTGGTTCTAAGAATTCTGAAGAAAGTGGGCTGGCAAACATAGGCTTTTAATGCTGGGCTCCTAAAGAACATGGCGTATCAGGGCCTGTCCCTTCAAGGGCAGCAAGAACCAAGCAGGATCTTGTCATTCTGGTCTGAATAAAGCTCCATGAGCTGGGTTGGAAAGCTGAGCATTCATCTTGCTTTTCTTCTTCCCACCTCTTTCCCTGGAATCCCTTGTGGTGCCTTGTCCTTGCTGCCTTTGCTGTTCCCATCTGAGAGCTGGGGCCTGAGGGTGGTTGGCCCTGACTTTCCGCTACTCCCAACATCTGTAAGAGTGGTATAGTGCTGGGCTCCTTGGAGCATCACTGGACCCCCTTCAGACACCACCTGAGGTCGGTGCCCTGCCACCACCCTTACTCCTCAGGCCACTCCCAACCTCAGCTTCTCTTAGCCAGCTGTGACTTCCCATGGTGCCCCACTGCTTATGCTACCCATGGGCCCAATTCGGAGAGTGGAGTGGGGGCTAGTCGAAGGGCTCAGGGATCACCCTTCCTTTCACTTTCATCCTCACTACCCTCACGTCAGGCTCATGTCAGAAGCCCAGGCCAGGCTGTCCAGGGCTCTGTTTCCATATTTAATAGTCCCATGACCTCCCAGTGGCCGAACTCTACTCTTGGTTACACTCTAAGATGGAGTCCTGTCTCTTCTCTGTCCTCCACAGGAGACTTGAAGAAGAGGATGTGACTTTTAGCGTGACATTTGAAACAGGTGACCTAATACGACTTACAAACCAAGCCTGGGACAGCTCACTCCTCCACCCAGCTTGGTCTGGAAGTTGGTGGATTACATTTCTGGAAAAGACACTGTAGGTCTATATTAGAAATGGGAATCTGGCTTTTCCACAAAAAAAAGGTGGGATTACAACAGGCTATGTTCCTGATATATAGTCCTACTCTGACACACATGGGGTTACCATGAATCAGAATAGACCCAATGGCAACTGTTTTTTTATATTCCTGATGCATCCTCCAATTCCAATTCTACCTCCTGGCCTCTCTTGCTCTGCAAACAGCACTCTTACCCTCCTGATCACAAACATCAGGCACTCCCAGCTCTTATCCTTCTCCCATCATATACGCATGCATTGGATCACCCAGTCCTGGTTTTGTGTCCATAGACCCACTACCCTGAGAGTGAGCACCTCCTTAAATTTTGCATCCAAGGTTCCTCACTTGCCTCACCTTAGTGTCCTGGCTTTGCCATGACCACCAACCAACCTCTGCCATAGCCCCAGCTCCATTTCTCTTATCAGTGACCGGATTTACAGAGAGTTATATACCTTCTAGAGTCAGTGCTGGGCCACTCGATTACCCTGCTTCCCCCTCTTCCCTCGGAAGTGCCCTCCCCCTACTTTCAGGGCTAGTTCTCTGTAGATTGTGTCCCAAGTTTCTCAGCACAGCTGTGAGATTACTGGAGACAAGGCAGGTGAGCACTCTCAGCATATCCCCCGTGGCATGGCTCACATGGGCTAGACACAGCTGAATTGAGCCTTGGAACTCCAAGAAGAGGGGCTTCTGAGAAAGGAAGGCTCCTCAGGAGCCAAGTAGGTGGAATCTAGACTTCCTAATAAACCTGTTAGCTCTAGCCAAAGTGGCTAGGCTGAGAGAAGTGAGGGGGATTTACAGGTGGGATGGGTGTTGGGGAACCTTGGGGCTGGTGGTTGGGGGAGTGGGGCGCCTGAAAAAGGCCAGGATGTGGGTGTGCTGGTGTGGCATTGAGCCTAAAATGGTCCAACTTGGAGTCCCCAGTGCCTAGGACAGTTGTCCCCTTGAATATTGGAGTGAATGTGAATGAGGCAGCAGAAGGCCTTTTCTGAAGCATGAAGGGTTGGGCACAGAAGTCCTGACCCTTGGCCAGGATGGAAGAGTTAACCTGTAAGGGACTCGCTGGAATCTTGTTCACACACTCTGACCCTGAGGGGTAGGGTGTGTGGTAAATTAAAGATCCTAATCTGATACCATCTGGAGAGTAGGGGAGCCTGGGAATTAGCAGGAAGGTTCCTGACTGCTGTGAGTTTTGGTTCAAAAAGAGGTGGGCAGAGTGCAAGCACCTTGAGGGTCGGGGCCTAGGACTGTGTCGCCAGTGCCTGCTCTGGATCCCCTGAAAGTGAAACTGAAATAGGCCAGTTCTTTCCCAGAAGAATTTCACTACACATCCTGCCCCTCCCAGAAGTAGCTCTGGCCAGTTGTCAGCTCCCATCTACCACAGAAAGCACTGAAGAGAGCATTGCCTCCCTATGTGACTAGGTAAGTCCTTGGCCCCTCTTTGGGCCTGTTTCTCCATCCATTTAACAAAGGGGTTAGACTGGACTAGATAACAGCATAATATTGATGGTATTAAGAGCTAGGGTTGGGAGAGGTTGTCACTAGATGATCCCCCAGCCTTGTTTCTAAGTGCTGAAAGAGCTCCAGCCAACACTAGCTGCGTGTCCTCCAGGAGTTAAGTGTTTGGGACAGATGGACATGACAAACAGGACAGAGCAAATAGCAGTGCCTGGCAGCCCACTGAGTGAAAGTTCAGAGCTAGGGAGGGGCTGTGGAGCTTATAGGAAGGAGAGGGCCACATGGATAGTTTGTTCGTCATTCTCCTCCTCCACATCCCCCAGAGGAAGGGGGAAGTTGTCACACCAGGCGCACCAGCACCTGACACATGCACCATGACCCTGAGACAGCACAGGACATCAGGTAGGGCCTGGGGCTGGGCGTGGGTGGGTGGGTAGGGTGGGATCTGTGAATAGAATAGAATGTGTCGACCCCTGAGCCTTGGCCTCCAGGTGAACTCCAAGCAACCGCTGTGCTATTGCTTTAAGCCTCTGTCCAGGTACTACGGCTCTGGCTCCGTTCAAAAAGGGGTAAGGGGTGGGGGCAGAGGGATCCTTCTGTCCCTCTGATACCCTGAGCAGATCCCAGGAATCTCTGGACTGGAGTTATATCCTTACCCATGCAGTAAATCCCTCTCCATCCAAGATCCACCCTTTATGAGCTAGCATGCTGAGCATTACCAGGCAGCTCAGACAGCTGTTGACCTCTGTGACTGTCTTTTCCTCAGACCCCAGTCCCTTGTGGGTCCTGCTCCTGTGTGTCCACATCGTCAGTCTCCCAGCCAGAGCCACGCCTATACCTCAGAGCACCACAGCTACCATTGCCTCAGCTGGGATCACACCGGACCCCTACTCCTCTTGGCTTCCAACACTTCTAACAGCTAAGCAGTGCCCAGCATTAGAGGTGACCTGGCCAGAGGAGGAAGTACCACCGAGTAAGGAGCAATTATGCTGGGAGCCCTGGAGGGCACAGTGGTCAGAGGGAGGGCTATGGGCACAGATGGTCCAAGGGTGGGGTTGATTTCCCAGCCCCCCACCTTCTGCCATGTAGCCCACCACCAACCAGCCCAGGTTGGCTGAGCACTCACCATTCTCCATCCTCCACCCAGCATCAAGGGTGGAGGCTCAGGGCCCAGCTTCCAAGGTGCTCCCTATTTAATGGGATGGAGAGAACTCAAGACACATGGAGTATTCACAGGACCTTGAGCCTTGCTTGCGGTGCACCCCAAGGGTTAACCCCTCCCCCCAGAGCCTGCTTGCCTGCTGGCCACCTCAGAGGAGCAGCAGCCTGCTAGCACTGCCACCTCGGCCTGGGCACCTAGAGTCACAGAAGCTGAGCGCTTAGAAAAGGTCATCCTGAGGAAACAGGCTCAGAAGAGGAATTGCCACATGAACCAAGGGCCCTTCTCCAAATCCCCCTTGTTCAGGCCTCCCTAGTGGGCAACTGCACTTCCCTTTTAACAGACTTTCCCGCCTAGGCAGTATGCACAGAGACACTTCAGGTTCCTTATTGTGGGGAGGCAGGCAGGGCGGAGCACAGCAGAGGGGAGGGCCGGCTTTGTAAAGGCTAACACTGCACCTGTCCCTAGATGGAACGCTGACATTGTCCTGTACCGGCTGCAGCCGCTTCCCCTTCAGCATCCTCTACTGGCTGGGCAATGGTTCCTTCATCGAGCACCTCCCAGGCCGGCTGCGGGAGGGCAGCACCAGGTGAGGGACGAGCAGGGAGGCCAGCAGCGGGAGGGAGGCTTCCTGTGGTTCTCTCATGACTGGCCCTTCCTTCCCCCCTGCTCTAGCCGGGCTCGTGGGAGTACAAGCACCTGGCTGCGGAGGGCCTTGGTGCTGGAGGAGCTGAGCCCTGCCCTGCGCAGCACCAACTTCTCCTGTGTTCTCATGGATCCTGCACAGGTTGCCCAGCGTCACGTCATTCTGGCCCAGCTCAGGGTGAGGAACCCAAGGGAAGGTTTCTGGGGGCAAGAGGAGCTCTGCTTCAGTGTGGGCCACATGGCTAATGTGGGGAGGGAGGGATGGGTTCTGCTCAGAGCAGCCCTATAGCTCATACCCACCATCTCCCAAGGTCCCAAGCCTGCGGTAGGAACAAAAAGAAAGTTAGGACTGGGGTGTAGGGGGGTATACAGCCTGGAGGAAACTGCCAAGAGATGTCCTTCCACCCCTTGGGCCTGATCCTCATCTGCCTTCACTTCTCCAGGCTGGGCTGAAGACAACCCTGCCTCCCACTCAAGAAGTCCTGTCCTCCAGCCACTACCCAGGGCCACAGCTGCCCTCATCAGCAGGGCCAGGAATCAGCACACAGTGCCAGCAGCAGGACAGCAACCTTGACCAGAGCCCGGGTCCCGCTTACCTGGAGGGTTAACATAATCCTAATCGCAAGCAGCACTTCCTCCCCCACCATACCCCTGCCCTGGACTCAGCTTGGGAGCCCCCCGCCTCCGAAGGTTCCTGTTCTTGTTCCCTCCTCTCCAGCTTCCCTGCTCTCACCAACTTCAAACTCTTCTCATCTACCTAGAAAATTCTAATAACCTTCTGTATGCTTCCTCCTCCTGCCTGCCATTCTCTTTCCATCCACTTATTAATTTTCCCGATGTCCTACTCAGAAACCTCCAAGAGCTGTCAGGACCTTAGCCCAGTATTCAAGGAACCTGGTTACATTTCCAACATAACCTTCCAGCATGCCCACAAGTATTCTTCCTTGTTCCCAGTCAAGTCTCACTTCTGTTCCTTTGGTCATTTGGTCTCCTCTACACTATCTCAGCTCTGGCCACATTCTGTATGGACTTACTGTTGTATTTGTATTTTACCCTCTAATGGACTGCCCCAGGGAAGAGATGAGGGCAGAGGCTGCTTCTGATCCACAACTGTGGAGGGCCCACAGTGGGTACTCATAAATAATACTCCATTGAGACATCTTTTGCATCTGCTTATTTAGGCCTAAGTTCCACTTGCCAGGACCTTGGCCTCCCTATGAGGGAGTATAAGAAAAGAAGGACTGCCACTCAGAAGCTAACGACAAAACCAGACTCAGGAACATAACCCGTTGCCGTCGTGATTCTGACTCATAGTGACCCTGTAGGACAGAGTAGAACTGCCCCATAGGGTTTCCAAGGCTGTAAATCTTCATGTAAGCAGACTGCCACATCTTTCTCCCATGGAGCTGGTAGGTTTCTAACTTTTCAGTTAGCAGCTGAGTGCTTAACCACTGCGCCACCAGGGCTCCCTCAGGGGAACATAGGGCCTCAGGAAAAAAAGCCCATAATGCTCACTAGGAGCACAGCCCAGAAATGGAGTGTGGCAGGATCCGGGGAAAATGTGTCCGGAAAAGGGAAGACTCAGCAGGGACAAAAGGTATGTATGCTCCAGAAAGCCCAGATTTCCCCTATTTTCCACATAGCTCAAGGCAGCTCAGCACTAAAGGGCGAAAAATAGACTTTATTTACAAGTAATAACATTTAGAAAAGATCCATCCCTGGCCCTTAAAAGCCTTCCCATCACTCCAAATCCCACCCCAGTGCAAGTCCGGGGAAGTTGGGGGTGAGCTGCCTGTGAAGGCTGCCACCCCACCCCACCCCTGAGGCATGGGGCACGGGGTGTGGGAGGCATTACTGTCTCTTGGGGTTTGGCCACCGTTGGCCTGGGAGCTGAGAGAAGGCACTGAGAGGGACAGTAGAAGAAGGACCAGGCGAGGGCAGCACTGGGGACACAGGTGGGGCCGCTCACTGGTACTGGCCCTTTAGTGCTTTGCCTGAAAGAGAGACAGTCACATGGCTAGATCAGACTTGGGATGCCAGCCTGCAGCTGCTGGCTTAGAAACCCTCATCCTGCTCCATACACCCCTAACCAGGATACCATCCTTGGGGAGGCCCTGGACGCATCTGTTTTCAGTTTACCAATTGCTGGCTGTGCCTAAGAAACGCTGGGTGTTCTCAGGAATGGAGCTGTCTATTTCCTCCCCTCAGTAATAAGCAGTTAACTAGGACATGGAACACCTTTTAACCCCCCCACCCTCCTGTGGCCTAGCTTGGCCCTGCCTTGGATGCCGCTGCACGGGGCAGTCTGGGAAAGGCCCATCCTCTTCCATGAAGTTTCCTACGAGTCACACTCCCCCCATCTCCCACCCTCAGGGCCTCCACCTTGCCCTTGGCCCGAGGGGTGGCAGCGGCAGCACTGGCGGCGCTGGCTGTGGTGGTGGCGATGCGAGGAGAGCGGCGGGTTCCACTGCGGGTGTTGGGGGAGGCCTTGGATGGGGCTTTCTTGGAGGACCCCCTCCGCAGAAGGCTATTCCCGAGCTTCTTGGGCGTGTTGAGGATGCTGAAGGCCATTGACTGGCGCCGGTCAGCCTGTTGGGGAGGGGCTGTCAAACTGGGAAACCCAATGCTGCCTTCCCAGGTCAGCCTGCTAAACCAGGGCTCTGCCAGCAAGGCCCCTTGAGGACCTTCCGTCATCCTCCTTCACTCCCAGACTAACCTGTTTAACAGCTGGAGCTGCTTTCTCCTGGGCCTTGGTAGTGCTCTGTTTGCGCCCTTCATGTCGGTCACGGGGAGTCATAGGGCGTGGGAAACAGCTGCTGGCCTTCTTAGACTATGGGGAAGAGGACAGTTAGGCAGACAGCAGCAAGAAGACTTCACATCCTAAACCAGGTCTCTTGGCCTTTCAGAGCTGAAGAGGACTTTATAAGTCAACGTGTCTAACTTGCCCCCCAAAACCCTGAACCAGAGGCTTCCCTTCCAACAGTCCCCGTCCCTGCCTGCATCAGGCGCTTGGCGAGAGAAGCCTTCCCTTGAGTCCCCTTTTCAAATGTGGTGAGCTGGGCCTAACGTGTGCAGAGTGCTCGACAGAACAAAACACAGAGGAGCCAACGTCACCCACCTCAGGGGTGCCGGGGCCCTGGTGGGACTCTGAGGAGACCCGTTTGCGCTGCTGCCGGGTTGTGATGCCAGTGCCCTCAGCGATCTGGGCTGGCTGCATGCTGGCCCGGCGCAGGGTCTCCTGGGGATCACCAGTTTTCATCTCCTCATCTGTGATGGTGGCCAGGCTCAGGGAAGGCTGTGTAGGGTGGAAGAAGAGGTCAGTGGACCCCAGCTATGTGGAAATGGAGCAGGAACTGAGGCTGCCCCAGCACTGTCTTCACTGGGCTGACATTTGAAGCAGCTGGAGCCGCCTTTTCTGTTCTCTTTTCCACCACAACCCGGACAAACGGGCATGAGAAGCGCAGTCCCCAGCAGACTCCTCTTCAAGCTACTGCCCTCCCATAGTAACTTCACTCTTGACCGCCCTTCCTGCTGGCTATCCCATCTGGGTGCATAAGAAGGTGACCCTCCTCAGTGGTCCAGAGACCCAGGACACGAGTACTCAAGCTAGGTCAGCAGGTAGCACTGGAAGGGTAATGCCAAGGGAGGAAGGAATGAGCCAGCATGGACAGGTCCTGCTCAGATGACCCAGGACTCACCCTGGACTCTATGGGATAGCAGGTCTTCAGGTGCGGGGGGCATACTCGATTGCGCCGCTGCAACTCTGCAATGCGGTTCCAGTCATCCAGCTGCTCTGGCTCATCCTGGCAAGTGCCCATGTAGAAACTGTTCCTTCCTGTGGAAAGCAGGGAAGCTGGAGCAAGTGTAGGGGCTGGAGGACCAAGAGGAGTGAGGGCTAGAGTTGGCAGGTCACCCACTGACTCTGGGTCTCACCAGCCTTTGCTGCCACCACTCCCCCTTCTGCCTACCCCGTGGACGTCAAGCCCAGTACACCAGAGTCCCCCTCTGACCTGGTGCTGTAGGTATAGGAGTGGGGCAGAGATACCCTGTCTACCATGGGGGCTTACTCACTTGCAAAACTGTGGTGCCCAACACCAAGACAAACTAATTGAGGAAAAGGAACTGATAACCCAGAGGGGTCCCTGAGGCCCAGAGAGCAAAAGCCTCCAAGCAGTCTCTGAGGATAGAACACTGGCTAGCCTGGCCGTTCCAGCAGCCCATCATCACCTGAGAAGGGGCACGAAGGACTCTCAACAGCAGCTCAGCTGTCACTATCATGCTGGGAGTTCTAGACTACCCCTGGTGAGCATCTCTGGTTCACCCTGGCTGAGGTGAGCATTGGCCCAATTGCGCCAGCACAGCCCCTAGAGGACGGGGAAGGCCCTGAGACTGTAGGGAAGAAAAGGGACAAGGTGCTAGAAGGTGGCAAGGTGGCCAGCCTTGCATTTTTAAAAGCATCTTGTCTCTTCCCTGTGCCAGGATCTGCTTCTAGTCTAACTTTTGGGTGTTCCCACAGTCCCCTCACCTGAAGGGGCCCCACTGGACACCCTGGCCTGGGAGTGGCGAGCAGAGCTGCGAGTGGTGGGCCGGTAGCCAGGCAAGCTGAGCAGAGCTGAGTTGCCATCGTTGGCAGAGCTCAGGGAGGGTAGAGACTGTGTAGAGGACGTGGTCCGCAGGCTGGCCTGGGATGCGGGGGCAGACTGTGTGCTGTGGAAGGATGAGTTGGCGCTGTCTGGCTCCTCCACATCCAGCTTCTGGAAGAGAGTATGAAATCTGTTGTGATGGGTGGGGTGGGACCCTGGTCCTCTATAAAGAAGTCTCCCACTGACCCTCTTAAAGCCCCTCAGATCCCATGCATATCTGCACGTGTTCCCACGCCACTTAGCAAGGGGCCTTGGTTTACACTTCACTGCAGAAAATGGGCTTTGTTGCCAGAATCCCACACTAGGTGCTGAGATTTGATGTCAAGACTCTTCCGTCCATTTTTCCACTGAGTCTATTAAAACAATGCTTTGAGGGGGGAAGGCAGGGTTTATCAGCCCATTTTAGAGGTGTGACGCAAAGGGACTGGCCCAAGGTCAAACAGCTAGAAAGTGGCACAGCTGGGGCTAGAACCCATGTCTCTTGAGCAGTAATCAGGCTTGCCCCACAGCTTCCACTGCCCCTCAGACCAAGGGCACTGACCATTTTCTAGAGCTTCTCCAGCTTCTTGTTAGCAGAGGGCACCCACACACAGAGGTCTCTCTGCTGCACCAAAGCACCTCTCCTCCCCATCCTCCTCCTGGGATAGGGAAACAAGGGCAAGAGTCCACAGCCTGGCAGGCACCCACGATACAGCTTAGCCACACGGGGCGCTGGGAGGCACAGGATGGGCTGCAACTTGCCTATTCTCTCCCTTCAGCCTGCAGAGGATCAGTGCTACAGACAGAGAGGACGCTCTAGTCTCAGTGGAGACAGGATCAAATTCCATCCCTGCCCCTTACTATAAAAGAGGCCCTAAACACATCACTTCCTTTCTCTGGATCTGTTTTCTCATCTGTAAAATACGGGCTGGTAATCCCTGTCTGCCTGCCTCCCTCCTCAGACTATTCTGAAGATCCAGTGTAAAGATGCCCTTCAGAGGAAGTGGGCATTACTGCCCCCAGGCTGGTCACTAGAAGTCTCTGCAGCCCCTCTCCCAGCAGCCTGACCTTGGTCATGGTGATGTTGATGATTTGTGTGGTGCGTCGACGAGCGGAGCGGGTCTTACGGCCTGAGTCCAGGAAGACGTCCCCCAGGGAGTCCAGGCTGCTCTCCAGGGGGGCCTGACTCCGAGTAGAGATGGGGGTGAAGTAGAGACTCTCCAGGGATTCTACCTTAGGGGGCAGGCGCTGGGAGACAGGTGAGGCTGGCTCTCCAGGGACACTGGTGCCATCTGGCTGGGTACGAGGCAGCTTGCTGTGGAAAGGAAACCTGCTGAGGTGAGACTCCGAGGGCTAGGAGGCATTTTGTCCACCCTTTTGCTTCCAAGTGATCATTTCTACATTTAGTACAGGCAGACAGGGTCAAGCACCCCATTCTCGCTCTGATTTTTCAGAGGCAACAAGGAGAGTCCTTGACCTGGGCCCTCCCTTCAATCCACTCTTGCCCTGGTGAGCTCATCTATCCCCCATGGCTGCTCGCAATGCCTCAATGCTGGCAACTCCCTGATCTCTGCCTGGGCAATTTCCAGAGCCTGAACTCCAGACCCATATATCCAATTGCCCTGAGACATCCCCCCTAGATGCGCACAGTACTTCACAATGAACATATTCCAAACTAAGCCCACGTATCTGTCCCTCCTCCTGCATTCCCTCTCAGTGAATGGGAGCACCCTCTTCCCAGAGCCCCAAGCCACGAACATGGGCACAATCCCTACCACACCCCTCTCTTGCCAGACCCAACCACTGAGTCTCCTAACATCTGACCACACCTCACTCCATTCTCACGTCCTTTCTGGTTCAGTCTCATCTCCTCTCATCTAGACTGCGAGAGGCAGCAGAGTGGTGACAAGCAAGGACAAGTGACCACCCCTCTAAGCCCCAGTTTCATGTTAAAGGAGGTGACAGCAGAACCTCAGAGGGTTGAGAGAAGTGAATTAATATTTTTCAAGTGCTGTGAAGTGTCTGTAAGTGCCATATAAGTGTTTGCTTAATAAAAACAATAAATGTATTTCCACTCTTATCCTCTACTGTCTACCAGAATAATCCTTCTATGATGCAAGTCTGACCATGTACTCCTCAATTTAAGCCCTGTCAGAGGTTCTTCAGTATGTTTAGGATCACGTCTCCTAAATGCCCGCCTCCTTCCACCAGGAGTACGGTAGTCCCCTGGGATCTGGGCCTGCTGAGCCTTCCCAGCCCTCTCTCCACAGCCCACGCAGCTGTTTCTCAGCCTCTGCTCCCACTGCTCTCTCTGTTCACCAGGCAGGCACATCTCTGTATTCTTTCAAGACACAGAGCAGGAGTGACTGTCTCCACAGAGCCTTTCACTCTCGCTGCTTTTCCCTCTCCCTGTGCCTTATACAGTATCACACCTGTAATACTTTCTTTTTCTTTCTCATCTAAGAATAAGCTTCCAGAAGGCAAAGGGACTGCATCTTATTTCTCTCGCTAGCCCCAGTGTCCAGGATACACAGCCTGATCAGCAGGAGGCACTCTATAAGCAATAGGCTTAGGGAGGGAGGGTGCCCCGACCTGGTGATAGCAAGCGGGGTCCCCTCCTCGCAGCTCAGGTCCAGGCTGTCAATGCTCAAGTCCAGCTGGGGCTTAGCCTGGGGCTCCCGGCTCTTTAAGGCATCAGTCGCCACTTGGAACTTGCCCAGGTCTCGAAGCTGCTGGTCAGCATGGGCAACCTGGGAAGGACAGGGCCAGGAGGAGAGTGCAGGAAGGCAGGAAGGCAGGAGTGGAGGGCACAGGGGTCCCATATGCAGGGTAAGGGGAGTCTCTCCAGCTAGACACTTACCTGTGCCTCCAGGCTATGCACCTGGGCAGTAAGGTGACGGCAGGTCTGTTCAGCCTCCTTGGTCTTCAGCCCAGCCTGCTGCAGCTCCTGGCCCAGCCTCTCAGCTTCAGCCCGCAGCTCCTTGTTTTCTTTCTGTAGCTGCTCCAGGCCCCGCAGCTGCTCCTGCAGCTCTTGGTTTTGCTGCTTCTTGGCATCATAATGGGTCTTGGCTTTTTCCATCTGTGTGAGCAGACAGGGCGGAAGGGCTGGTGGGGGTGGGGCAGAGGCAGGGGGGTGGGCAGGATGGGCCAGGGCAGGGCTCCTCACCTGCAGCTTGTAGTGCTCAGCTGCCTGCTCCTTCTGGCTCAACTGGGCCTGCAGCTCATTTAGCTGGGCCTGGAGGCGCTGCGCCTCCTGCTGGCTCTCGCTTCCCTGGGCCTGGGAGCGTGGAAAGGCTCATCAGCAGGGCCCATCTGGCTGCTCCACCCAAACTCACTGTCTTGGCCTGGCCCTTGGGCTCTGTGGCCGTTCTCACGCAACACTAACACACTTTCCCCCAACTCCATCCTACTCAAACACCACTCACCCTTCAAGGTCTACAGTCTATGGAAACTTTCCCTGGCCGGCCCATGCCACTTGTTATCTCTCTGGCACAGTTCTAACAACCCTACTTTGGCCTTCTTTTGAGACTGGGCATAAACTGTCTCAATCTCTTTCTATGAGAACACAGTCAATCTCCCAAAGAGGAAAGGAAACGGATTCCCAGGGACACCTTGGGGGCAAAGCATGGAACTAGGCATTTGGCATGTAAGCTCTCTGAGGACATATTCGTTTATCCTCAAAACCACTATGGGAAGTAACTTCATCCTCATTTTAGAGATGAGGAAACTGAACCCAGAGATTTAGGCAAAATGACCAGGGTCACAGTGACTAAATGGCAAACTAAGATTTGAATCTTGCTTCACCTAATGCCAAAGCCTGTGTGGGCTCATTAACTATGCCAGTGCTGCCTCCCACCCAGACACAGCCTCCTTCAGAATAGGGTCTGTGTATGAGTCTCTGCCCACCTGCTATGCCTCGCACAGTGCTCGGTCTGTTAGAGGTGCTGGGCTGGGCCATCCTGCCCTTGCCTCTCCTACGTCTCTTAGCACAGGGCAGGCCCCCAAGAAGCATGAGAGACATCTGTTTATGTCTTAGGCATGATGTGGGTGCATATGGAAGGTGAGCAAGGAAACGATGCTCTGAGCTTCCATCAACTCCTGTGGCCCATCGGGGCTTTAGTGAGCCCATTTTCTTTGTCCCTGACTAAAGGCTATGACGTCTACAACTGCAAACAGCAAATACTGAACAAAAGAAGACACAGTTGAAAACATCGGAATACTATTAAATTGTAATATTAAATATCAACACGCTCACTCCCTGGGCCCAGACTATCTAGACCAGCACTGTCCAACAGAACTTTCTGGGATGACGGACATGTTCTGTATCTGCGCTGTCCAATATAGTAGCCAGTAGCCACCCACAGCTACCGAGCATGTGAAATGTAGCTAGTGTCATGGAGGAATTTAATTTTAAATTTTATTTTGTTTAAATTAATTTAAATTTCAATAGCACATGTGGCTAGTGGCTAGTTACTATACTGGACAGTGGAGGTCTAGAGGGATGGGAACTGCTCCAGCCTTCCCTCAAGAGCTCCCAGAAGGCACACGTGGGGTTCCTGAGCCAAAGGCAGATTTCCAAAGGCTGCCAAGCACCCAGGGTGCCCCTCCTCTGTCCTCTCATCCATCACAGCCCAAGGACGTACAGGGCCCCTTCCCTTCCCCACCCTGTAAGGCCAAGCAGAGGTCAGGCCTAGTCCCCATCAGCCTCACCTTCAGCTTCTGCTGCTGCATCTTGCTGGCTTGGTCATGGTCAGCTAGCTTCTTACTCAGTTCTTCTACCTGGGGATAGGGGAGGGAAGAGGAGAAGAAAGACTCAGGAGGCCACCCTCTGCATGTTCAGACAAAGTCTTACGTTTCCCCAGACCAGTATCCCCAGTGTTCCTGGAACAGGAAACTCAGGTCCTTTCTCTGGCCTCCAATTAGGGAACAGACTCAATGCTGGCGAGGCTGGTTGGCATAACCTCAGTAAAGTGATCCCACACACACATGTTCCTGAGCCATCTGCCATACTCACCTCCACCCCAGCCCGCACAGAGAGGCCTGCCTGACCCCTGCAGCTGTTAGAATCAGCAGAATGGACTCTGCAGAGCTGACACCTCATCACCACTCTGCTGCTGCTGCTGCCACCGCTGCTCCCCAGCCCAACCTTCCCAGGTTGGGGTAGAAACAGGGGAACTAGTCTGTAACTCTAGCAGACATGCATGAGTATCCATCCCTCTCTCTAGTCCTAGAAACTGCCAAAGCCAAAGCCCATAAACGCTCAGGCTTCTTCCCAATAGCATAGGTTGTTAGGGCTGGTGGTAGCAGTGTGGCCACCGTGGTTAGCACTGGGGAAAAGACTTCTGGAAGACAAGAGCAGGGGCAGCACACACACTAAAAGCTCACCCTGTTCCCACAAAGGAAGAGCAAAGGGAAGCAGAGAACAAGAGGGAGCATAACGGCTGGCCACCCCAAGCACCCCGTCTCCTCCAGGCATTCAAGGAGTTCAAGCATGATAGGCAGAGGGGAGAGGGGGGAGAGGCAAGGGCTCCATTGCTAACTGTTTGCTCTTCTGTTTGACTGTCCCCCATCATCTCAGGCTCCTCAGAGAAGGCGACAGGAGGAGAGAATAGGAGGCCCCAATTCCTCAGCAGGCCTGAGGGGACTGGGTAGGAGGATGGGTGGAGAAAGGGTGCTCTCACTAAATACCAGCTCTGCAGCCATGATGTCTAGCGACCTCCTCTGTCTGGTGTAGACCCCTCCTGCTCCTCTCAACCTTGGCCTTCCTGCTCCCAGGTCTCTCTATACCAAGCTCTCGAGAAGCAGTCCTGTCCTGGTGGACGATGGGCAGGCCCCTGAAAGCTCACGGCCCTCCCTAACTCTGAGGGCTGCCTTGCATATCACCGTTACGGCTTCAGTAAATCCATACTCTCTGTGGGAGAGAAGGGGTTGTGTTAAAACAAGGCCCGTAAGTCATTCTACTGTTCCTCTTAGTTGACTATCTTGAACCTGGAACATGACTTGGAGGGTCTAGAACCCTGAAGACTGATTCTGTCCCTGGTTCAGATATGGGAAACATGAAGCCCATCCTATCCCTCCTCCCTGACAGGCAGATGAGAGAAAAGTGCAGAAGGGTGAAGAGGCCGACCTGGGATGGGTGGGATGAAGCCCGAGAGGGCTCAGCACCCCGCACTCCTGGACAGCCTGGGCCTGGATTCCATGGCTTGACCCTGCCCCCTTCACAAACAGTTCACAACGGGGGCTGGTGGAGACAAGCTGAGCTGGGGCCATGCACTGAGACTGGTCACCGCTTAAGCAGCCAGCACTTAGCAAGCACCCCAGGCATTACCTGCTTAGTTTGCTCTCTCTGAAATAGCTCTAGCTGCTCCACCTGTGCACAGGGGAGGATCAATGGAGACAGAGTGAGATGGGGCCAAAGAGGACTGGACTGGCTGCCAAGCTGACGTCACTGAGCTCTGATATTTGCCCCCAAGGCACTAGACATCTAGTAATTAAACAAATACCAGTTTGGCTCATCTGAGTTCCCAGTGGCCTCCGGGGCTTCCAGTGTAGGCACACCTCCTCACAACAGTATGCCTCTGGAAAGGGCTGATGGCCTTCACAACATAACTCTCCAGGGACAGAGCCTTCAGTGAAGGGGAAGATACTGATCTTTTTCTTGAAGACAGTAGGGGCAAAAGACTTGAACTCTACTCCTCCTCTGCCACCCAGTGACTGAGGGAAGGTCTTTAACTAGCTTAAGGCCGTAACGTGGGAGCCAGAGGCCCTGGTCCCCTCCCTCTCAGGTTTGATCTTTGGGGGTATGGCTGGGTGGGGCACCTCACCTGGGCAGTGAGTTTCTGCCTCTCTTCCTGGAACCGCTGCCTCTCCTCCAGGACCTTGACCTTGGCACCCTCGTACTTGGCAGTCATCACTTCCAGCTCCCGGGCAGCGTTCTGGGCTTCCTGCCGCACCTCAGCCAGACGGGTCTCCGCATCAGCACGCACAGCTGCCAGCTCTTGGACATATTTCTCTCGAGCCTGATCCAGCTCCACTTCCAGAAACTGCCGGCCAAGGTTGGCCCGCTCCCCCAGGCCCCGGTTCTCCTCTGCCAGCAGGCCATGGGCCTTTTTCAGCATGCTTAGCTGCTCGGCATAGCTGGCCTTCTCTGCCCGCAGCTGCTGGGCTGCTCGCTCCTGCTCTGCCACCTTCTGCCGGAGGGGCACCAGCTCCCCAAGCTCCCGCTGGGCCCGCATCAGCTCGGCCCGCAGCCCACCAGCTGCCTGCTTACTCTGCTCCAGCTCCTCACGATGGCGCTTCTCAGCAGCTGCCTGCTCGGCCTGCAGCTGCTGGCACAGGTGCTTGACAGGCAGCAGCTCACTCACCAGGGCCTGTGTGCTGGTGTGCTCAAGCTGCAGGGCAGAGAGGGCCTGCTCTTTCTGGAAGAACTTCTCCTGCCAAGCCTTCAGTTCTTGGCCTAGCTCCTCCGCGCGCTCTGCCTGCGAGGCCAGCTCCTGCCGCAGGTTTTCTGAAGCCACTCGCTGTTTCTCTGCTTCGTCCCGAAGGGTCTGCACCTCCTCTCGCAGAGCAGAGCTGCGCTCTGCTGCTCTGGCACTGCTGCTGGCAGTCTCTGCCTGGAGCAGACGCAGCCTCTCTTCCAGCTTCTGGCTCTTCTCCGACTCGGCTACCACCAGCCGCTTCAGCTCCTTGCTCTCCCCCTCCTTCTCCAGGACCTGGCGGTTCAGAATGGACACCTCCTCCTCCAAGCTGCTGATAAGGCTGTTTTTTCTCTCGGCCTCCTGCTGGCCCCGGGCCACTTGGGCCTTCCACTCAGCCTCAGCCTTGCTGTGGTCTTGGGCCTTGGCACAGTGGGTGGCCAACTCCCTTTGGGCTGAGGCTAAGGCATCCTGACTGTGCCCCAGCTCCCGGGCCTTCTCTTCTAACTGCCCCCTCACTGTCTCCAGAGCACTGTCCCACTCCGCATGGGAGGCTCGCTCAGCCTCCAGGCTGCGCTCCAGGCTGGAGGCCTTCTCCTGATGGCCCCGGCACTGCTGCTCCAGATTGCTCACCTCTGCTCGCAGAGCCTCCAGCTCCGCACCTGATGGATCTGTCTTTCCAACAGCCCCGGACGAGGCTCCTGAGCCAGAAGCATCTTCTCCACTGGCCATTCCTACAGACTGCTGGTGCTCCCTTTCCTCCTTAGCCAGTTGTTCTTTCAGTTGCTCCAAGGTTTGCCGAAGCTCCCCTAGCTCTGTTTTCTGGGCTGCCTCCTGACCACGAAGCTTGGCCAGCTCCTGATCCTTCCCTTCCTTTTCCCTCAGGGCATGGGCTAGCGCCTCTTGCAGGGCAGCAAACTCCACACGCTGCTCATTGAGGGCATTCTGCAGCCGCATCTCCAGCTCTGCCTTGGCTGCCTTCTCCAGAGCAAGGTCAGCTTGGGCCCGGCCCCGCTCTTGGGTCAGCCGTGCCACTTCCCTCTCCTGCTGCCCACGCTCCTCCTGCTGCTGGCCCTGGCTCTCCATCAGCGCAGCCCGCAGCCTCTCCAGTTCACTGCCCATCCGCTCTGCCTCACGCTCCATGGCCTGCAGTGTGGCCTGTGTGCTGCAGAACTGGTGCCCCTGCTGCTCTTCCAGCCACTCTGCCTCTCTATCTCCTGCTCTCGGGTGCTCCTTGAGTAGCTCACGGGAGCCTGTTTCCTGCTGCTCTCCTGCCTTGCGCACCAAGGCCTCCAGGCGGGCCACCTCCTTGCTGGTGGCAGCCATCTTCTCCTGCAGAGCGGAGAGGTCATCAGCAAGCTTCTGGGCCCTGACCTCCTTCTCCTGGACCTGCTGGAGGGCTCTAGCCAGATTGGCGTTGAGCTGAGCGAGCTCATTCTGCTGCCGGCTTATCTGGAGCTCGCTGTGGGCCTCTATCCCTGCTACCTTCTCCTTTGCCTCCTGCAGCTCCTGGCGGGCCTTCTCACATTCCTCCTTCAGGGCCACCAGCTGTTCCTGGAATATGGCACCATACTGCGCCTCTTCTTGCTGGCTATCCTCATACCGCTCACGCCAGGTAGCTACCTCCTTGACGAGTTGCTCATATTCACTCTCGCTCTTGCGTTGGGAGGCTATGGCCTCTGCCAGCTCCCGCCGCAGGGCCTCCGTCTCGGCCTGATGGGCCTCCCCAAGCTGCTGTAACTGGGTCTCCAGCCCCTTGCGCCCAGCCTTCTCTTCTTCTAGCTCCTTCTGCTCCTGTTTACGCTGCTCTGCCAGGCTCCGGGTCTCTGCCTCCAGCTCAGAGATACAACGCTGTTGCTCCTCCCGGGCGTCGGCAGCCTGGCGCTTCTCCTCCTCAAGGCTGCCCTTGGCGGCCTTCAAGGACTCCTCAAGGGCCCGGAGCTGCTCCTGGAGTTGGTCCTTCTCCTGGGCCACCCCTTCTCTCTCAGTTGCTTTTTGCTGCTCAGACCTCAACTGGGCCTCCAGCTCTGTCACCTGGACCTGGGCCTCACGCTGCTCCTGGCGGGCTGCCTCAATGCAGGCATGGAGTTCCTCAACCTTTTGGCTCAGCTCTGCCTTTTCCCGCTGGGCCTGTGTCACTGAGGTCTGGGCACTATCCTGGGCTTCATTAGCAGCCTGAAGTTGCTGTTGCAGAATCTCCAGCTTGGCAGCATTCTCCTTCTCCAGTGCCTCCAGCTGCTGGAGAGCTGTGTTCCTCTCTCTTAAGGTGGCCTCTTGCTTCTTGGAAATAGTGGCCAGTTGTTGGGCGTGGTCCTGCTTAGTTGCCTCCTGCTCCTTGGCTGCCTCCTCCAACTGCTGCTCCTTCTGCTTCAGGCTGCTGCTCAACTGCTCCACCTGGTGGCGGAGACCCTGGGAGGCCTGTTCTTGCTGCTGGAGAGTCTGGGCTAGCTGGGCCTGCTCTTTCTCGGCCTGCTGTTTCAGGCCAGTCAGTTCTTGATCCTGTTGCTGGAGGGTGGCATTGAGTGTGGTGAGCTCGGAGGTCAGAGTGGCCACCTGGGCAGTCAACTCGGCATTCTGAGCCTGTGAGGCTTTCTCCAGGTCTTCCTTGGCCTGGGTGAGGTTGGAGATGGAGCTCTGCAGGTCAGCAATCAGGCCAGCCAACTGCTGCTTTTCTTCTTCAAAGTGGCCCCGCTCGGCAAGTAGCTTGGCTTCCTGCTGGCCCCGCTCCGTCTCCAGTTCCCCCACCTTGGCTTGGAGCTGGGCATAGTTTGCAGCAAGAGTGGCTGCCTCTTGCTTCAGGGCTTCCAGCTGGTGGGATAAAAAACAAATGGGATGAGCATGACTCCTCAGTCACCAGGCCCTCTGGGAATAGGATAACCAGGAATCTGAATGTGCTGAATGTGGGGCCACCCAATCCCAGCACACGGGTCCTAATGGCTACTCCCCTGTATTCCTACCTGCAAGGCGTCACCCAGCACCTCACCCTTCTCCTGGGGTGGGTTCTTCTGCAGCTGGGTTGAATGTTCTTCCATCTGTGAAAGTTTTCCCAGAAGAATTTCATTCTTCTCTTCGAGGTATTTCTAGGAGTAAACAAGAGACCCATGTGAACAGAGGGGTGGAGTAGTCCCCGCATGACCACACAGGCCCTTGTGGACATCAGCAGGTGACCCTCTCATCTTGTGGCCAAGACTTCCTTTTGCCTTGGCCTAGAAAAGACTCAGAAACCATAGACCTGGGACCCTGAGGGACTTGACTTTCTAACCTTAGTTCCTGGGCTGAATTAAGTTATAATGTGAACTACTTACTTATCCAAAGCTACTTAGTTCAAATTTCCTTACTATATAGCTCTCCTCAGACAAGTCTTGGCTTCCAGATTATCCAAAAAACCAAAAATATTCCCCGACTGTCTGGGCATCATAGCCAACAGCAGCAGCAACAGCGTCACCCCAGCCTCACACCCACCTCCCCACAACTGTTCACTAAGCATCTACTACAGGCCAGGCACTGTGCTGGGTAAGCCTCTGAATTTCTAATCCATATAACTAATCTGAGAGGTAGCTATTAATGTCCCTCTTTTACAGGGCAAGACATTAAAGGTCAGATGTTAAGTGCCTTGCCCAAGGGCTACATTGTTAATAAGCACCAGAGTTGGGTTCTTAATATTAACAACAACAACAGCTAATTCATTCAGCGCTTACTTTACACCATACAGTGTGTTAAACGCTTTATATGTATCATCTCACAGTAACTGATGAGGCAGCTACTCTTATCACCAGTCCCATTTTAGGGAAAGGACACCTGGAGAGATTGAGTAACTTGCCCAAGATCCACACCTTGTAAATAGCAAGACAGGATTCAAACCTAGGTATACTGGACTTAAGCCCACAAGTTTTCCATTTTAGCACACTACTAAACCTTGAAGAGAAGTTAGCTTAGTTCCCAAAAGACCCAAAAGAACAGTGGTAAACTGAATTCCGCTTTGAACACATGATCGAGATGGTGGCCCTGACTCCCCGAAGCAGAGCATTACCTTGTCCTGCAGGGTTGTGCTGAGCTCCTTCTCGAGATGGGCCTGCTTCTCCGCCCACTCCTGGGTGGCCTTGCCATGCTCCTCTGTCAGCTCGTTGAGGGCGCCCTGTAGTTGCTGCAAGTGACTGGCAAATTCCCGCAGCTGAGACAGACAGGTGGGAATCCCCATCACCCAGGGCCAAAACTGGCAACACCACTGCTGGTCTGCTCCCTGGCCTCCAACTATCGTTTCAACCCCCCTCAAAGCAATCACATCTGTAACTTAGAAGTACAAATCAAAATTTAGGGCCACAATCCAGCATCCTATCGAGGCACTTAACATACCCAATTATGGGACAAGGAAAGGGGCGAAGTATGCAGGGTCTCTCGAGAGATCCTCTTTCAACCCTCTCTTGGGCAGCCTTCCAGACCACCTCAGCCCTTACTGGCCTCCACGTGTGGATTAGGCCCCCCACCACTCACCTTAAAGGAAAGGTCGCCATTCTCCTCAGAAAGCTGGTTGATCTTGCGATCCATCTGGCTCTTCTCTGTCTTCAGGTCCTGGCACTGCTTTAGCGTCTCATGCAGGCGCATAGTGAGGCTGCGAGGGAGGGAAGCAGTGAGAGAAGAGTGTGGCCCACCAGTGGGTGCAGGAAGGGACTGGGAGCTGATGGCAGGCAGGGAAGGCTATACCTCTCATTCTTGCCGCGTAGCTCCTCAAGCTCCCTGGTTTCCGGCGGGCTGGCTGCCTGCCTCTCATTCAGCAGAGCCAGACGGTCAATGCGTTGCTGCATCAGGGCTATCTGTGCATCTGCCCCGGGGTGGGGGAAGAGGAGAGTGAGCACAGAGCAAAAGAAAGTAAAGGGGAATGGGAGGAGTAGGGTATCCAATCCTTAGGGGTAGGGAGGATGGGGCAAGGACAGAATCCAGCTTACAGGTCAGTCTGACGCTAGGCACAGGGCTAAGCTTCAGAGCCAGCAGAGGGAACAATACGGGAGGCTAAAGGGACATTCCCCAGGCAAGTCCAGCACTTCCCTGGATGAAAATCTTAAATGCTGCTCATTCACACACATCTGCCAGTGTGCCAGGCACCTACCCTTCTCAGTAAGGAGCTTGCGGTTCTCGGCCAACTCCAGCTCCAGCTCATCCCTATTGTTTCTCTCATCTGCAAGTTGCTTCTTCAGCCGCCTCACCTGGAATTGTGGGGTATGCAGGATGTCGCCCATGGGGGAGGCTGGAGAGCCTACAAGGAAGCTGAGGAAGAAGATGGCCCAGAAGTCATGGTCAGAGCCTGAGATCTGAGGGCTGAGGCACACAGCAATAGCCAGGTATAGTGTGGAGGAGAGGGGTCTATGGCCAAGCACTGGCTTGGCTCTCTGCAGTACTGCCTCAGGTCTCATGACATGACCTTGACAGAACTTTTCATTTTCCTTCTCCAAGTCTTAATTTCTTTGTTCCCCTCCCCGAAAAAGTGATGAATTTTCCTTGCCTCTGTAGAGCTGCACTGAGAGAAGGGACGTCAGCATCATCTCAAAGGAAGAAAGGTATTCCATGAACAGAGTAATTGCCTTTGCAGATGGCCTTCTGCCCAAAACAGATCCCAACCAATTCCCTCAATTAGTGCTGGGTGAGGTGAGGAAACGCAAAATCAAAAGGATACTCAGAGCTCCCAGCTGATATAAGAGGCTGGTCACAGCTTAGCCTCTGGACTACAGGGATAAGAGGACTGGATACTGAGGCCCTGCCCCAGGAGAAAGACCAGCACATACTTGTTCCCACTGGAAGAGGAGGCAACGTTCTGTAGCTCTAGGAAGCGAATCTCCTTCTTGGTCTGGTGGCTAGGTGGGGAGAGCTCTTCAGAGATGGTGCTGGAACAGGTGGAAGGGACAGGAGCTGGAGGAAGAAATGGACAAACAAACCACAGAGTGGTTTCTAAGAGGGTGAACAGATGGGCATCATTATGCACTTTGAGAACTTGCCTTGGTGGGAGTGAATCCACGAACACTTATATGTAAACTACACAGGGCGGCCACTGGGAAGAACCTAAAGCCTGGTGTGTGGGTTATCCAGGGATCAGCATCCCTAAGCAAAATTGAAAGATAGGCCTCCATCTCCACAGATGATCAGTGTGAATGCTGTGGAGTGAAGGTCTCTCCCATGCTCAGAACTGGACCAGGTGCTCATGCTTTTCCCTCAAGTCACCAGGACAGAGGCAACTTGGGATCCCTAAGCCAGGACCATCTCTCAATACCCAACAACCCCTCGCATCAGTCACTGACCTCTGGTCTGAACTCTCCCATCCTGAAATCTCACACCGCCAGCACGCCCTTTCTCAAAACCATCTCTTTCCTTGGTTCCCATGACCACTTTCATATGGCTCTCCTACCTCTCTGGCCACCCATTCTTTGTCTCCCTCATTTGCTCCTCCCTCCTCCACCCACCTTGAGATGTCTGTGCTCCCCAGAGTTCTGATGAGGCCTCCTTGTCTCTCTGCCCACAGTGCCCACGGCTTCAGTGGCCATCCATACACTGACTTTCAAACCTTTATTCTGGCCCAGGACCCTCTCCTGCACTCCAACATCTCCACCTGAGGGTCTCACAAGGAACGTGAATTTGAGGAACATCACATTCAGTGGCTTCAACAGAACTTGCCTATACCCATTTTTATATTCCTATCATCACTCGATGATATCTTCATTAGATGTCTGGCAGAAACATCACTCTTTCTATTGTACTTCCAGCCAGGGTATTTGAGACACCCACCACCTCTCTGTTCTAGCATTTACATTCCTTATCACACTTACTGGTTTATGTATCTGCCTTTTCACCTAGAACACAAGCTTCATGAGGGAGGAAACCACTTTTATAGACTGTGCACTCCCAGTTTCTAAGCCTACAGTAGTGTTTGTTTCAAAAATAAAAAATTAAAATAAAAAGAGGGGGGGAGTCAAGGACAATCTAACAGCAGACATAATCGGTTATAAAAAACCTGGTAACTGCTGCCAGGCAGCCAGGAGGAGCTCCTTAGGAACTGGGACGATTGCAGTAGAAATGTACCTACCCCACTACACACACTCTTCCTGAGCACCAACTCTGTGCCTTGTGTTGGAATTAGAAACATCCCCCCATTGCACATCCCAGCAGCTCAGGATCCTAGCAGCCCCCACCTCAGAGATGAGGGGGTCCTCAGGAGTGTGCCTCTACTTACCTTTTCGCAGGAAGCTCTCTAGGTCCTCATTAAGATTTAGCCCATCCTCATGGTCCAGCACAAATTTGAGAATGACAGCTAACTCAGCCTAAGCCACAGAGAGAGAAAAAGAGCATCAGTTATGATTACAGAGGCCCCTGAAGAGATGGAAAGTTCCAGCCTGGCATTTCTATTCCCAGCTTTTCTTGAGCCCCAGGAGCCCGCTGGATCCCATTCTTTCTCTCAGATCCTGAAACCATGGCCCAACCAGGAACATTCGACTAGAGACATTTCACCCTACTTGCCTCTTCCCCCTGTGCACTCAGAGTCAGAGTTCCTGACTGACTTCACTCCTGACTACAAGGGAAGTGAACAGGCAGAGAGAAATATAGTCAGAAAGCTCTGATACCTAACTACGTTGGCCTCTTCCAGATTACCCTGATTGTTGTTGTTTGTCTAAGTGAGAACACCTCTGGGGCTCATCCAAAGCTTATCTACCAGCTCAGCTATAAAATCTTCTCTTCTCTGAATTCCAAAGCTACAGAGTTGATCTCATTTTCCAGGCCAGCTCTGCTGTTGTTCCTTATTCCTTCCTTTAGAATTTGTTTCTACCAAGTCTATGACCAACTTGGAGCAGAGAAAAGGTTGAAGGAAGGAAGAACTACCCACCCATCTCATGCCACTAAATTCCAACCACAATCCCAGAAAGGAACCATGAGATAAGTGAGTGTGAAGTGGGATAGTATGCAGAGATGATCCAACATTTCTACCAATACATGAAAAGACTACAACTCTCTGGACACTGCTTCAATCAATCACCTAGGTTACCCACTCTGGACCCTACCTGTTTCTGCTCTGGAAAATAAAGGACAGCTGTTGACACAGGAAGCAAAGCCAATATGGCAGGTGGTTCCTGGAAACTATGTCAATTCCCTGTATAATGAAGCTGGTGTACCAAGTCCTCTTCATTTAGGAATCACACAGAGGAGAGAGTAGGAACTAATCGCCCTGAGCTAGATTATCATAGCAAAGACATGCCTGCTCTCTCACTAATCCTTCCTACTAGAGGAAAGGATGAGATAAATGGAATAATAGTTTTGTGTAAAACATACATATACATATATGAGTGTGCTTATATACACACCAGAATGCACAGATGAAAAGAGTAAGAACAATTTCTACACATTATCCAAACACACAAGGGTACAGTTAAATATATGCCATATTAAAAGGACTTTGGAGTACAGTCTTCAAAAAATTAGCAGATATCTTTGGTAACGAGATTATTGGCAACTGTTATTTCCTTTTTTGTGCTTTTCAATATTTTCCCGATTTTCTACAATGAATGGCTGTAATTACTATAATCATAACTTAAAATAAAACAATATATGCTGTTTAAAGAAAAGCAAATGGTGCAGTAAAACATAGGCTACGCCTGCTAGGTGGCGTGGAGGTACAAGGGCTTACCTGAATCTTGTATTCAAATTGGTCCCAGTCCCTGAGGCTTTTGGAGCCCATGGTGAAGTGGTATAAGAGCAACATGGTTATCTAGAAGCCAAATGGGAGGCAGTCACTGAGGAGGCTCTGCTCAGTGCTCCCCCCCTGAGCTGTTCTGGGGGCTCTGAGTTATTATGGACTCTTCCAAAGCCCCCAGAAGAAAGCAGCCCCAGGCCACTGCCCTTAACAGCACCAGGAACACTTTACTGAGGACCCAATGCCCACTGTGCACAAAGCCAAGTGCAAGGACCTCATGGCTTAATTCTTGCCATCATGGAACCCTGGGTATGAAGCTCAAGGCATCCTCTATAGGCTAGCACCTGGAAACAGCAGAGGGAACGAAGTAGACTGAGCTTAAAAAAAAAAAGATAGCCAGTGTAGCCTGATTCCTACCAGGTCTCCACTGAGACACGCAGTAGTGGTCTAGTAAACCTCTTTGTCATAAGGCCATGGACTCCTAGAATTCTTGGACTGAATTTGCTTCTGCCTCAGACAGGTGGCTGTCTGGTCCTACCTCCAAGAGTCCTGGAAATCAAGCACCCACAATCTCCCTGTGGGTTAAGAGAAGGCCCTTCAGGTCCCTCGGGTACCACCCTTCCCACTCCACCAATCTAGTATTCCACAGGTACCTTGGCCATTTCCAGCTCTGACCCCTCCATCAATTTCTGCATAGATACCAGGCATTCTGGAGAAGAGGGATGTTTTCGATTTTCTGCATGGCAACAATGTAGAAAAGAGGGTAAGCTTCCCCAAGAGAAGTACAGGAAAGTCTGAGAGTCTGAGGACCAAAATCGCTGCCTCTCATAGGGCAATGAGATAGAGGCCTCCATATTCCCACGTCCCGCCTCCCCCAGCATATACTTTTCCATCTGAAGTCTATCCTGGGCTAGTCCAAGGGTTATAGTGATAGTTCGAGAAGAAAGCAGGCTGGGAATTCACAGCACCTCTGGGTCATGGAATTGTACTCACCTACCAACTCCCACTTAGCACTACAGAGAAGGAGCCTAGAGATTCCAGGTCACCCTAGATTCCTGTTCCAACAATGATCTGCAGCTGAGCCAGGTTAGGAAGCCTGGGACACATCTGGCTCTTAGGCTGCCCCAGGGTCTGGGCCCAAATACTAACACCGTACTTTATCGAAATGTATTATCATCTTCCCTAGAAATTTCTTGAGATAGAAACAGGGGATAGCTTATCATGTTAAAAATGAGGATTCTGTGGCCCAAGGCTGTATGAGGGGAAGGGAACTTCTAGCACTGTGCTAGCTTTGCATGTGTTCTTATTTAATATACCCAACAAACTTAAGAGCAATTATTATTTCCATTTTATAGACGAGGAACTTATGCCCAGAAAGGTCACACAGCAGTGAGTAGAAGGGCTAAGATCTAAACCTAAATCTGTCTCTCCCTCTACGTCTACCACCTGAACAATTAATTCAAACTTACCTTGAAAATTGTTTTTCTTATGAGAGAAAAAAGGTAACATGGACCCTTCCCTCTCCTCTGCTTCCTCATAGTGGGGGGAATGGGAATCTAAGGTGATGAGTCTCAAAACAGACTCTATGGCTCTACCTGGATCTCTGAGATAGACTCTGGGTCTGAAGGGGCTGCTCTTCTTATGCTTGGCTGGTGTAGGAATTACCCAACCCAGGGAAACTACTCAGTTGTATTCATCTCTGTGCTAAAGAATAGGGAGCCTTGGACCCCCAGACACCTGTGAACTGGTTCCTCCAGACTCCAAGTCCCAGGAACTGATGAAGCAGCCCCTTCCCAGCCAGATAAGAAAGCTGCTTACTCTGCAGAAAACTGCACACAAAGTCCCATCTCTCTGGTACTGGCTGCTTCATGATTTGTTGCCCCTCTTCAGTGCCACGGCTAGAAAAAAAGAGCAAGCGTTAACACAAGAGTACTTCACAGTCATTCCCTCCTTGCTACTGAGTTACATCATATTACCTTCCCCTTCCTTCAGGGCTTGGTCTATCCTGGGTCTGGGAAGAGCACCAGACTAGAACCTGGAGGCAGGTGAGAAGATGCCAAGATACCATGTATTCAGTGGAACTGTGTGGTGAGTAAGATGTGGGGACTTGAGGAATGAGGTCCTTCTGGAAAAGACCGAACTCTGCCATACTACTTGTGAATATGAAAAAGCTATGTGGGGAAGAGACTGAGAGGAGACAGAGGCAGCAAAGATGAATAGGAAGCTAGGTTAAATAGTCTGGAATGACTCAACTGTAAAAGGTCAGGAAGCCTGAAATAACAGAGTGAGAAACGACTATGGGAAGGGAAAAACAGGTCCAAGAACTGAAAGAACAGGAAAGAACAAGGCTCTGAAGTAACAGGGCAAAGTTCAACACACATTAAGCTGAAGGCTGAGGTGGCTCAATCTCCTGGAGGCTGGGCAAATGGACAGTCATTTTTGGTCAGCAGATGTTTGCAAGTGTTTAACTAGAAGGGAAAAAAAAAAACAAAATCCACTGCCATGGAGTCAATTCCACCTCATAGCAACCCCATAGGGTTTCTAAGGCTGTAAATCTTTATGGAAGCAGACTGCCACATCTTTCTCTCATGGAGCGGCTAGTGGTTTTGAACCACCAAACTTTCAGTTAGCAGTCGAGCACTTTAACTACCACATCACCAGGGCCCCTTAACTAGATGGCAAGTAAAGTGCGGAAAGAGCAACAAGGGGAGAGTCAGCAGGGGGAGCTCATACACAGCCCGGAGACCTGGCCCCTGGACACTTGCTGTAACTGCAGTTTCGTTTTCAGAGGTATCTTCACCCCAAGTAGAAAGCCACCAAGAAGAGCTGACTCTCTATTTAGGCTATGGCTGGAGATACTGACTAAAGGGCCCCTGATCCTCAGAATCTGAATCTCCAGGTTTCAGCCAACTTTCTAGGGCAGGCCCTAGAATGTTCCAGGGCCAGAGACATCCCACAAAGCACAAGAAGCCTCCAAGCTAAGACGAGTGTACCTCCCCCATCTCCCAGTTGATTACGAAGGCTTCTTCAAAGCTGAACTCCCCAGAACAGGCATTTGGGGTAGCTGATGCTAATCTCATGGACTCCCAAACAAGTCATCTGCTCTACCCACCCACCATCTGGAATATTGTGACTCCTTCCCTCAGTGTACAGTAGTATTTACCTAGGTAAAATATAGAGATGATTCTCAGGTTAAATGTTTGACAAATGCTGGGTTAAACTAAATTGAGCATTTTCTAAAGAAGAGGATATAATTATTTCCTAAACCTATTTGACCACAAAACCTCTTTTTCCCCCTAAGCCTCTGGTATAAGTAAAGTTCCACGGAACATGGTTTGGTAAATGCTGGCCCTGGAAAAATCCAGTCCATCTTTCAATACTATGTTCAAGTATCATCTCTGTCAGGAAGTCATCCAGAACTACTGCTAGTCATATCTCTATCCTCCTTCTCAAGAATTCCTACAGCACTCATGATACAGCTGCATACTGCTACAATTGACCAGTCTGTGCTTAGCAGAAAGCTAGGGATATAGTAGGTGCTCAGTACATATGGGCTGACTGACAGATGAGAGAAGCTTTTTACTGGGATTAGCACAGGTCAATGTCAGGCAAATACCCAAACTTTAGGTTTTCTGGCTAAATGCCTCCTCCACTGAACTTTGCTACTGAAGTCTCACAGATATCAAAGAAATGGGACAACCTTTCTGCTTTAGTCTATTCTCACAAGAAATAACAGAAAGGGAAACTTGTCTGAGAGGTTGATACCAATGCATTTCACCACAGAGAGGGCCAGTGGCCAAGGAACAAGCCCTATCAACTCACACAGCTTCTACCTGCCCACCCACCCTGCCATCTTCCACTGCCTTCGGCTGAGAACTAGCGGTCTGCTTTAGGTTAGCACCAGTAACAGTATCAGAAATGCAGTAGCCAGAACACATTAACCAACAATCTCTGTTTTCCATTCCCAAAGGAAGTTGGTCTGCATTGTCCTGGATTTGAGACAGAGATGAGGGTTAACCTGGTATTTCAATAGCCACATCTCCAAAACACACACATTCCCTCCTAGTCTAAGGCTGAGGCAGCACACTAAAAGACAACTCGGAAAATGAACATGTTGAATTTCCGACCATCTGTGAAAATTTCTCACCAGATTATAAACCTATGGTGGCTAAACCAAGGACACATACCCTTATCCCTGGACACATTTACTGCTCTTGTCATCGGGCAAAGGAAACCTCTCTCCTCAAAAGCTCCCTGATCTATTCATAAGTCCAAAGAGCATGCTGCACCCTACTGTGTCACAACATAGGGTATATCTCATATCTGGCTGCCTCTCTTTTGTCGTTGTTGTCAGGTGCCGTCGAGTCAATTCCAACTCACAGCAACCCCATGTACAAAGGAAAGAAACACGGCCTGGTCCTGCGCCATCCTCATGATCGTTGTTATGCATGAACCCATTGTGGCAGCCACTGTGTCAATCCATCTCGTTGAGGGTCTTCCTCTTTTTTGCTGACCCTCTACTTTACCAAGCATGATGTCCTTTTCCAGGGACTGATCTCTCCTGATAACATGTCCAAAGTATGTGAGACAAAGTCTCACTATCCTCGGTTCTAAGGAGCATTCTGGCTGATCTTCATCTCTTTTAGTGATGCTAAAATTAAACGGTGAGTTAGGTATTTTCAGCCTAATACAGCCTTTCATTTAATCAACCTTTCATTTAATGGTATTACTATCCATGGATGTTGGTTGCCTAGATAGACCATTTAGTTTGAAAAACAATTTTCATTAGGAATTGGCAAAATGCTGATTTATAGGTGGCACACAACTCCACCTATTAAATATCCTTGCAAAAAAAAAAAAAAAAACTTTAAAAGCTAATCAAACTTAGATGCAATTACTGATTTATAGATAATAAGGGGAAAAGAGAAAAAAATTAAGCAGCACCATGATTATGCAATTAACAAAATCCAGAATTTAGGATTAAAAAAAAAAATGGGGGAGAGCGAGTAGGTCTCGCTCCTGATAACGTGTTCAAAGTACGTGAGACAAAATCTCCTTGCTTCTAAGAAGCATGCTGGCTGTACTTCCCAGACAGATTTGTTCATTCTTCTGGCAGTCCATGGCATATACAATATTCTTCACCAACACCATAATTTAAAGGCATCGATTCTTTGGTCTTCCTTACTCATTCTCCAGTTTTCGCATGCATTATGAGGCAATTGAAAATACCATGACTTGGACCAGGAGCACTTTAGTCCTCAAAGTGCCATCTTTGCTTTTTAACATTTTAAAGAGATCTTTTGCAGCAGTTTTGGCCAACACAATATGTCATTTGAGTTCTTGACTGCTGCTTTCATGAGTGTTAATTGTGGATCCAAGTAAAATGAAATCCTTGACAACTTCAATCTTCTCTTTATCATGATGTTGCTTATTGGTCCAGTTGTTAGGAGTTTTGTTTTCTTTCTGTTGAGGGGTAATCCATACTGAAGGCTTCATTAGTGCTTCAAGTCCTCTTCACTTTTAGCAAGCAAGGCTGTTGTCATCTATATATTACAGGTTGTTAAAGTCTTCCTCCAATCTTGATGCTGTGTTCTTCTTCATATAGTCCAGCTTCTTGAATTATCTGCTCAGTACACAGACTGAATAAGTATAGTGAAAGAATACAACCCTGACGCACACCTTTCAATTTTAAACCCCCCAATATCCCTTATTCTGTTCAAATGACTGCCTCTTGATCTATGTATAGGTTCCTCATGAGCACAATTTAGTGTTCTGGAATTCCTATTCTTCGCAATGTTATCCATAATTTGGTATGATCCACACGGTCAAATGCCTCTGCATAGTCAATAAAACACAGGTAAACATCTTTCTGGTATTCTCTGCTTTCAGCCAAGATCCATCTGACATCAGCAATGATACCTCTCCTTCCACATCCTCTTCTGAATACAGCTTGAACTTCTGGCAGTTCCCTGTTGATGTACTGCTGCAACCATTTTTTAACTACCTTTAGCAAAATTTTATTTGCATGTGATATTAATGATACTGTTTGATAATTTCTGCATCCTGTTGGATCACCTTTCTTTGGAATGGGCACAAATATGCATCTCTTCCAGTCAGCTGGCCAGGTAGCCGTCTTCCAAATTTCTTGGCATAGATGAATGAGTGCTTCCAGCATTGCACCCGTTTGCTGAAACATCTCAATTGGTATTCCATCAATTCCTGGAGCCTTGTTTTCTGCCAATGCCTTCAGTGCAGCTTGGACTTCTTCCTTCAATATCATTGGTTCTTGATCATATGCAACCTCCTGAAATGGCTGAACATCAACCAATTCTTTTTGGCACAATGACTCTGCATATTTCTTCCATCTTCTCCTGATGTTTCCTGGGTCATTTAGTATTTTGCCCACAGAATTCTTCAATATTGCAACTCGAGGCTTGAATTTTCTCTTTAGTTTTTTCAGCTTGAGAAATGCTGATTGTGTTCTTCCCTTTTGTTTTCTAACTCCAGGTCTCTGCACATGTCCTTATAATACTTTACTCTGTCTTCTCGAGCTGCCCTTTGAAATCTTCTGTTCAGTTCTTTTACTTCGTCATTTCTTCCATTCACTTTAGCTACTCAACGTTCAACAGCAAGTTTCAGAGTCTCTTCTGACACCCATTTTGGTCTTTTCTTTCTTTCCTGTCTTTTTAATGACCTTTTGCTTTCTTCATGTATGATGTCCTTGATGTCATTCCACAACTGGTCTGGTGTTCGGTCATTAGTGTTCAATGTATCAAATCTGTTCCTGGGATGATCTCTAAAGTTAGGTGGGATATACTCAAGGTTGTACTTTGGCTCTCACAGACTTGCTTTAATTTTCTTCAGCTTCAATTTGAACTTGCATATGAGCAACTGATGGTCTGTTCCACAGTGGACCCTTGGCCTTGATAGAGGATATTGAGCTTCTCTATCGTCTTTCCACAGATATAGTTGATTTGATTCCTATGTATTCCATATGGCGAGGTCCATGTGTATAGGCGCCGTTTCTGTTGTTGAAAAAAAGGTATCTGAATGAATAAGTCATTGGTCTTGCAAAATTCAATCATGTGATCTCCAGTGTTGTTTCTATCACCAAAGCCATATTTTCCAACTACTGATCCTTCTTTGTTTCCAACTTTTGCATTCCAATCACCAGTAATTATCAATGCATCTTGATTGCATGTTTGATCAATTTCAGACTGCAGAAACTGGTAAAAATCTTCAATTTCTTCACCTTTGGCATTAGTGGTTGCTGAGTAATTTGAGTAATACTAACTGGTTTTCCTTGCAGGCGTATGGATATTATCCTATCACTGACAGCACTGTACTTCAGGATAGATCCTAAAATGTTTGTTTTGACAATGAATGCGACGTCATTCCTCTTCAATTTGTCATTCCTGGCATAGTAGACCATATGATTGTCCAATTCAAAATGGCCAACACCATTTCAGCTCACTAAATGCCTAGGATATCGATCTTTATGAGTCTTGTTCATTTCTGACTTCCAATTTTCCTAGATTCATACTTTGTACATTCCCCGTTCCAATTAGTAATGGATGTCTGTAGCTGTTTCTTCTCATTTTGAGTTATGTCACATCAGTAAATGAAGGTCCCAAAAACTTTACTCCATTCAGGTCATTAAGGTTGACTCTATTTTGAGGAGGCAGCCCTTTCCCAGTCATATTAGAACAGCTTAGAAAGGGGAATATCTATGTTATGCTAACAAGTTAGATATGAGATTTCTAGGTGCTGCTTAAGGAGTCCCGGTGGCACAATGGTTAAGTGCTGGGCTGTTAACTGGAAAGTTGGTGGTTCAAACCCACCAGTGGCTCCACAGGAGAAAGACCAGGCATTCTGTTCCCATAAAAATGACAGCGTAGAAAACTCTATGGGGCAGTTCTGCTCTATCACATGGGGTTGCTATGATTTGAAATAGGCTCTACAGCAGCTAACAACAACAGGTACCTCTTATTTCCCTCAAGTGTAAAAGCTTCCCTTTCCTCCTCCTGACCCCAGAGGTTGCAAAGAGAGGGACTGTGAGCTAGTGATGAGCAAGAACAGAGAGCTGTAAAACACTCCCATGCAGACAGGAGGACAGGGAGCCCTAGAGCACGTTCTGGAAATACTGTGAGAACACAGAAACCTGGAGGCCCCTATGTGCAAGAGTGAGGAAACCTTAGGATGGCACAGGAATGAAACCTCTCCCATACCCAAAGGCACAGTGGTGGGAGGATAAGGTCAATGTGTTCTTCTTGTCTCTGGGCCCCACACTGGCTTATGACTTCCCAATCCTTCCCATGCTTTTTGGTCACAGCTATCACGAAGGAAAAGGAGCACGTGCAGTCCCCACCCCAGCATGAAGCTTTGAGGCTGGAGAACGGTGCGGGTGCATACTCACATGCTGTCAATGATCTTGAGGAAGATGCTGCAGTCCTGGAGCTGCAGCACAGCCTCCACGGGGTTCGCCACGCGCAGACTGTTCACCTGTGAGACAAAGGGAAGAGCTTAGTGAAACAATTGCTGTATTAGAAATGCCAGGAGCAGTGTGGTTTGCTCCTTTTCCCAGATGTTGACAATTCCCTGCTCAGTGTAAATGCCTACAGTTGTAGGCTATAGGAATGAAGAAACAGATGGTTCCAGGATTCTTAGTTTCAGCAAAGGAACGCTCCTGCACCCCATTTATCCAGTTAATGCTTTCCAATGACAGCCCTCTGAAATGCTACCAGCAGAGCCCTTCCTTTGGCTTAAACTAAGTAAGAGCTTAAATTCTTCTGGGATGTTCCAGCACTAGGGGTATACTTTAAATATAATTAGGTTCTGTAAGGATATATAAAGGAGCCCTGGTGGCCCAATGATTAAGTGCTCAGCTGCTAATCAAAAGGTCAGTGGTTTGAACCCACCAGTCGCCCTGTGGGAGAAAGAAGTGGCAGTCTGCTTCCATAAAGATTACAGCCTTGGAAACCCTATGGGGCAGTTATACTCTGTCCTATAGAGTCACTATGGGTCGGAATCAGCTTGATGGCAATAGGTAAGGATATATAAGAAACTGGTACCACCAGTTCCTCCTAGAGAAAGGAACTTTATGACTAAGAGTCTGAGGGGTGAAAAAGAAAGGCTTTTTATATTATGACCTGCTGCACCTCCTGAATTTTTATATTTTAGCTCTTTGTGTCTCTTGAATTTTTACATTATAATTCTTTGTACTGCTTGAATTTTGAAATACCTACTCAAAAATTAAATACTACATATATTTTATACACTCACATACATATATATAAAATCTTATTATTTATGCATTTCTGATTCTTTCCAGATATAAAACTTTAGCTGAGGGGAGTATCCTGGGAGAACAGCATAATCAAAGAAAAACGGAGGAAGGAAAAGAGCTGGCAACTCCAATGAAAAAACTTCACAATTCTGATTCAACTGCCCTGTTCCCTTTCTTTGGCTGCAGGCGGGGATCCATCTAAATCAGTCCACACAACAAGAAATTTGCCAGGGGCAACATGCAAATGAGTCAGGTACACAGGCTATTCAACAGCCATTTACCATCGACTTCTACAGGAAAACCTCATAAATTCCAGAGACACTGAGTTCAGAAGTAGCCCAGGCTGAAGTTTACCTTTATATTACCAAAGGAAGGAAGGGTTTCCTAAGCTAATTAATCACATATGGAAGACTAAGTGGGGAAGGGAAGACTTAGTCTCCTTAAGAAACCAGGTATTTTTCACCAATGAACGCCCTGACAGGGAACACAACAGAGAGTCCTGACAAAGCAGGAGAAAAGTGGGGTGCAGACCTCAAGTTATAGTAAAAAGACCAGACTTGGTGGCTTGATTGAGACTGGAGGAACCCCGGAAGACATGGACCCCGGACTCTCTGTTAGCCCAGAACTGAAACCATTCCCAAGGCCGGCTCTTTAGACAAAGATTAGACTGGACTACCAGACATAAAATGATACTTGTGAAGAGTGTGCTTCTTAGCTCAAGCAGATACATGAGACTAAATACGCAGCTCCTGTCCAGAGGCAAGGTGGGAAGGCAGAGAGGGTCAGGAGCTGGTTGAATGGACACGGGGAATCCAGGGCAGAAAGGAGGAGTGTGCTGTCACAGTACAGGGAGAGCAACTAGAGTCACTAACAATGTATGTATAAACTTTTGTATGAGAGACTAACTTGAATTGTAAACTTTCACCTAAAGCACAACAATAAAAAAAAAGAAAGAAACCAGGTATTTTTGAGAACTTCAGCACAATGATGATGCACAAACAAGTCATGGATTGTTTATAAATATGTTCTTTAAAAAGCACTAGACTGGGAATCCAGATGTGGATTTTAGGCCCAGATGCTCCACTAACCTGCTGGGACCTTTGTTACCAACTTCATCTCTCTCTGTGCCTGTTTTCTCACTAGTCAAATGATTGGAATTTCTACCTTATCTACTAAAGGAACAGTGTGGGCTCAAATGGGATTATGGATGCGAGAACACGTTAAAAAATATAAAGTACTAGAAACAAGGTGGGAGTCGCTGGGTGATGCAGATGGTTAAGTGCTTGATTACCAGCCAAAGGCTGTTCGTTCAAACCCGCCCAGAGGTGCCTCGGAAGACAGGCCTAGCAATCCGCTTCAGAAAGGTCACAGCCTTGAAAACCCTGTAAGGCAGTTCTACTCTGCAGAACATGAGGTCGCCACGAGTCAGAATCGACTCCAAGGCAACTAACAACAAAAGCAAGGTACTGTTACCAAAAGGGCAGCAGTTCAAACTCAGCAACTGCTCCAAGGGAGAGAAGACCTGGTGATCTGCTCCCACAAAGATTTCAGCCTAGGAAACCCTATGGGGCAGTTCTACTCTGTCACATGGGGTCGCTATAAGTCAGAATCAACTTGACAGCACACAACAATAATTATGATTAATAAAATTAAAATAATAAAGTAAACCCATCAAACATTCTACCATTTAGCAGTTAAAGTAGCTGTGTGCACTGAGGAATCAATTTAAAAATAAATAAATAAACTACTGATATGATAGTATTTATTACTGTTAAATATTAAAAACAACTTCTAGATATATCTAAATTAAAATAAAAGTAAAAAGATCAAGTGTGGAATATAAAACATGACCTCTTATTGAAGTCGAAAAGACAATAAACATATTTACACCATCTTTTGAAAAAAGCTCCATCTAGTTGATAAGGCCAGGCTAGTGTAAATTGTCTAGGCAGATTCTGAATACGCCAGGGCAAGATTCCTTTTTTACCGGCTGAAATTGAAGAGACTGCCAAGACTTAAGCATTCAAAAAATATCTCTCTATAATATCTGCAATCTAAGCAAAACATTCAAGGGCTATGAATGCTGGTTTACTAACAAGACTTGAAAAACCATACCAATTAGCTGATTTAGTCATCTGAAGAATGTGGATCCATCTCTAACACCAGTAAAGTGATAATACACCAATAGTTTCTTTCGTGGATATAAAAACATTTTTTCCTGTGAATTATTTGTTCTCAAATAAGAAATCATTTGAAAGTTGACTAAGTAGGGAAACTTTTTCATCCCTGTTTGTTGTGGCGGAGTTGATTCTGGCTCCTGGTGACCCAATGTGTGCACAGTCAATGTATAAAGCACACAAGTGAGGACTGAGCTCACTGCATAACCCAGGCGTTGCCTGTAGTGCTCCCATGGGTGCTTAAGGTTGTCGAATCTCAAAATTCCCTATAACAATTTCTTCATTATGACTTCTGGCTACAGAATAATTTTGAGCGACAGTAAGTTAAAAGAAAAAAAAAAAAAGGTATTTTTACATTACAAAATAATTACTGAAAATTCAGAAGACCAAAAAAAAAAAAACCTACCTGATTCTAGTATTTTAACACATGTGCTTTCAGCATTTTGTTGTATTTCTTTCTCATCTTTTTTCTTACCTATGTGATTTTTTTTTTAAAAAACCACAACTGTAATTACCATGTGTGTTTTCTATGCCACTCTTCTAACATAACAGAAGCATTATTTCTTGTTGCTACAGTCTTATAAAATTCACTGTAACTGCAATAATTTTTGTTTAAATTAAAAAATTCCATGTAACTATAGTTTAAGATTTTAATGCATGTGCATTGTAATTCTTAGAGAAAAGTATACAAGTATTTGCTGTTTTTTTTTAAAAAAAAAAAAAACTAGTCTTGTGTCTGTTCTTCTCCGTAATGGTAGTAGTCCTCATAAAAACAAGCCTAACCTAAATAAGTAAATAGATCAACTTAGAGCAATATGGCTAAAGAATCCCACAATATTCACAGTTACCCCACTGAACTAGAGGCGTTGCTCATGGTTCCCCACAACCCAACCAGTCTTTTCTTTGTAGGGGGGTAGCAGGACGAAGAGGCAAAGTTTCTAATATGGGTAGAAAACATTGAAATATAGAGAATATAAAATATAAACATTTTTAAATACTCATTTTAAACTCTAAAACTAAATTTTGAAACTGAAGACTAAGAATGCACATTTTGTACATTAAACACATTGTTTTATAAAACTGTAGCAGCAAGAAATAATGCTTCTTATAGATTCGATCATAATTAAAGACAATCTGCCTTATTAAGTATACTCTAATTGGAAACTGAAGCCCTGGTGGTGCAGTGGTTAAGAGCTCAGCTGCTAACCAAAGGGCTGGTAGTTCGATCCACCAGCCGCTCCTTGGAAACCCTACGGGGCAGTTCTACTCTGTCCTATAGGGTCGCTGTGAGTTGGAATCGACTCAATGGCAATGGGTTTGTTTTTTGCTTTTGTTTTTCGGTTTGAATTGGAAATTAAAAATTTATTTCCTTTAAAATATTCTCTAACTTAAAAAAAAAAGTGATTCTTCTATTGGCCCTTACTGGTCAGTAGTCAAGGTGACTACGAAAACACCCTGTGCCAACTAGCATGCCCTGATAGTATTTTAAGTATCAAGAGTCTAATATTTATTGAGATATTATGATAAATGGTTTTGTGTATGGCTGTGCTAAATGTTTTCTATATACATTATCCCATTAACCTCATAATAATGCTATGAGGTGGTATTATTATTATTATTAACCCTATTTTAAAAATGAGGCACTGAGAGGTTAAGTAGCTTGTCCTGGGTCACACAGGGGCCAGAGCCATGATTCTTGGCTAGGTTGTCTGACTCTATGCTCCTATCACTATACTCTGTGGCCTATTCTGTTTCTCTGTAGCTTTAAATACCCAATGCCCTGTATCACTTTGTCATTTGCATTATCTCTGGCAGAAAAACCTAGCAGAAGGACAATGGAAGTAAACAGTCAACAGAAGTCAACAGAAACACAGTAAAGAGCATGAGGAGAACCTTGCCCTAGGATTAAAGGCCTTTGAAGACCAAAGTCCCTGCATCTGTCAGTCAGTAAGGTTCAGGGTCAACTCTTATAGTCTGAAAAATGCACAAGGTACAGACGAAGATGAGTTTCCACGCAATCCTGCGGCCAATCTTCTCATGGCCAGAGGGGAATACATATACCTCAGAAAAGTCACTTTTCTAAGCTACAGAAGTAGGGTCACAGATCATTGTAGCAGCAACATCCTCAGAAGTAATAAAAGTTAAAAACTAAGGGGAAAGGCAAAAAAACAGAAAAAAACCTGTATTTACTTACTCTGGAAATGAGAAGATTTTACCCAGCGCTGCCTCCTAGAAAACTCCTTGCCCATCCCTCCCAATCTTCCTGGAAAAGCTTAGCAGATAAAGGAAAGGAAGACCACTCACCCATGTGAGGAGTGCAGCCGCCCGGGTAGCATGGAGCGTCATCTTGGTGATGCCAGTCACCCCAGCGCACCTAGAAGACGAAGAACAGTTAATAATATAAAATATCCATGATGAAGGAGGAGAGGGGAAACAGTTCCATTTACCAGCTCAGAACACTTAAATCACTCTTCACTCATCACTTAATTCAACAAGGCACCATGAGAATATATAATTTATCATACCAGAGCTGACAGTAAAGAATCTTGCATTTAACTCAATGTCCACAGGCTCCAATAGCAATCTTTCAGTTCCACGGAAAATATAACATTCAAAGCTTGCCTTCAACCCTGCTCTGAAGCACATGGTGCCCATAAATATGGAAGAAACATGACTTTTCAGACAGACCTCAGTGTTAGTGATGATTCCAAGTGACCATGGTCATATGACCTTGGACAAGTAACAATCTCTGTATCTTCATCCACAAAATAGGATCTGCAAACACCTCTCTGGGTTATTGTGATGCTTAAAGATAAAGCAAACAGCACAATGCCTGATACACGGGAGGTGTTCAATATATGATCACGGTTCTTAAGCAGATTTTTGGCTCTTTCTGAAATTATTCAAATTCCACCTAACTAATAATAAGCAAGTCCTTGGGGGAAAACTCTGGATTTTTATATCCCCCACAGAAATGTCAAAGGCATGGCATGGTTCAAACGGGGGATTGGGCATATGCAAGCCAAGGCCTCTAGATGAGGCCAAGCCCAATTCTGGAGGAGATCCCACGGGGTAGCTAATGAAAGATTAGGTACTTGTCCTGGTATTCTTACCCCCAATTCCTCTTTCCATTGGGAATCTGCCATCTGCCTGCCAACCTACCCAGGGGACCACAAATTGGTGACTAAATATTCCCCAATATCTCCTAGCAGCCCCCACACTTCTCACAAATCCACACAGGAGCACTGAGTCCCACTCCCACCTGCTGCCTTAGGTGCTCAGTCTGTCATTAGTCTAGGAGGAGGAGCAAGAGTGGCACAGCCATATTACCTATAAATCCCCCCTGCATCTTAGCATCTCCAAAGTGGGGGCTCTGTGGAACTAAGATTTGCTAAACTCCTACTGTATGCAAGGTATTGGGAATAAGAAAGACACAGTTCTTGCCCACAAGGTGCTCATTGTCTACTCGGGAAGAAAGATACACAAACGTGATCTTTCACTCCCCATCATCTCTTGGTCCCTCCTAGGCTGGTGTACTCTCATTATCAACCAACCAAAAATGGTATTTCCTGAGTCCCTATATATGCTTATCTTGTGTTGGAAGCTCAACGGGAAATGGGAGAAAACTACACGGTCCCTGCCTCTGAGGGGCTTACAGCTAGGTTAGGAGTAAAATTAAACATGCATGAAGCACTACATAATAGAAAATAATTAAATGCTAAATATAGTTAAATGTTAATTAAGTATTTCCTGACCCTGCAAAACTGAACATGATTTCATCGGTCATACCAACGTCACAATCTTAGAAATGAGCCAATGCACCTGGGCTTTGGCAAGACCAAATGAAGTAGTTAAGAGAGTTCTCAGAAGGGCAGAGATGCTAAGGGTCTTATGTGTTCCTCAGTCCTGGATGATTTTCACCAAGCACAACTTACCCTTGGGGTCAGACAAGGATGAAGGCAGATGGCTTCAACTACTGTACTGCAATAAGGCTTTTCAGGTGGCTGGCCAACCTAAAGCTAGGGGGACCACGCTTGGCCCCTGTGGTGAAGGGGCAACAGCCAAATGCTCAACTCAACTGGGGCTTCTTTAAAAAAAAAAAAAAAGTCTGAGCTATTTAGTAATATGGGAAGCAGATCACCTCCCCCTCATCTGGAGTGGGCTGCCTACAGATCTGCCCTCCTTTTGATGAGGCCCCCCTCCTTTTGATGAGGCCCAAAATGTCAGTCAGAAGTTTTATTTGCAACCTGGCCTCTCTGAGAGATTCCACAGCTGTGCTGCTAAAAATGACCTGAGGTTTAACCAACTTCTTCCCTTCATCTTAGAGGCAAAACATACAACCCCTTACGGCCTCCCAGGAGAGCCTGACTAAAACTAGGTCCATCAACGCTCAGGAAAACCCGGTGTCAAGGCCTAAATGCCTTTTTCTGTGCTCCTCAGGCATAGAAACAGAGGAATCCAACACTAGAAATGAAGGTCTTTGTCAGCTCAAAGCCCATAAAGGGGCACTTTCTCAGGGACAGGACACCCAGGTGAGAGGTTTTAGGTGAGCCCAGTCACTCACTCATCTCTGGGTAATGAATGACTGAAGCCAGGCATAGCTAGTCCTCAGCACTGGGACTATAGCTTTAAACAGGCCTTGGCTTGGAACCCGAGGGCTCCCAGCCAGAGCACCATCCTCTCCACCCTCCTCCTGAAATCCGAGGCAGGCCCCACCCAGAAGACTGGGTGATGGCGATGGAAAAACAGATCCCCGCGACTGTAAACCTCGAACTATTTCACAGAAGGATCTGCAGAGACCCATCCCAACTCAACCATGCACACCCCCAACCCACAATCAACAAACAAAACACTGGAATGCAATGTGGGATGCAGGCCCTCTGGAGCATATTCGGAGTTCCCACCTGGTTCATCAAGAAAGAGAAATGCCCCCAGAATCCAAAACAGAAGCTTCACAGAGCTGGTAAGCCACCTTCTATTTTCCCTGGGCTCAAGAAAGAACCAAGACACAGAACAAGCTGCCTTACAAACTAAAGGCCTTACATCCTCTTTACAATTCCAGAATTGACATAATGCAACTCCCCAACATCAGGACCAACTCCTACACTTACAGTAACCCACAGAAGATATATCAGGACAAGGAAAATCACACTCAAGAGACATACAGCCACTTGGCTTGTGCCCACTCTGGGTCATAAAGAGTTAAAACCTAGTTAAGGTTTCCTACCAGGGCTGAAGCTAATGCAAACCACCTGCTCAGAGGTAGACACCAGGGCTAGACTAGAGGGTCAGGTTGCTAAGCTCTGGGGTCTGGTTTGAAAAAGCTTCAGTTTGGGGGTAGACCAAGTGATAGACTGAAGGCCAGAGGGCTTTAGTTGTGGCAGCACTACTCTCCTCACCCAGCCTCCCACCCTGGGCACCAGCTCCTTTTGAGACCATCTCCGAGCCACTTATTGCCTGCCTAAACTCCAGCCCTACCTCAAGATAACACCAAAGTGACCTTTGGTCCCAGAAAGCTGCTAAACTGCATTGCTCTCTTAGTTCATGGGCCCTTACCTCCCCTGAACCCTCATTCCCTTAGATGCCAGCTCCTACCCCCAAAATTTCAGGACCCAAAGCCTACGCAAGCTCCCACCTCAAAGGGTCCTTCCCCCTGAGCCCAACTTTCTCTCTACCCAGTGCTTCTAAAGGCCCACAAATTCATAGCTCATAAAGGAAATGGCTGCCCCATCTATGCCCATGCTCAATGGCAAGATTTACCGCCACTTACCCTGAGAGCCTGCCTATCTATAGCCGTAAGAATTCCACTATTTGCATCCTTTTCTAAAAGTGATACTCCTCTATCTGAAAGACATCCGAAGAGTGAATACCCTGATCCTGGGCTCCTCCTCCTCTAACTCTGGGAGGGATCTATCAGGAGGCACAGGCAAGTAAGCACCCAGGCCTCATCTGGTAGGTCACTCTAGAAACCAAAAAACAAAGCAAACTCATTGCCGTCCAGTCAATTCCGACTCATAGTGACCCTACAGGACAGAGTAGAACTGCTCCACAGGGTTTCCAAGGAGTAGCTGGTGGATTCAAACTGCCAACCTTTTGGTTAGCAGCCCAGCTCTTAACCACTGCGCAGCCCAGCAAAGGCCAAGCTATATGGCCACAGGCTATCTTGCCATTAAGAAGAGAATAGGAATTATCTTGCTGGTGCATACCCTGCCTCAGAGAAGGTAAAAGGCCAAAGGACCAGCAGTTCCAAGGGAAGCTAAGTAAAGAAAAACACAAACCTTTTCAACTCCTGAGGAGTCCAGAGTAGTCTGTTTGGCCCAAGTCCAAAGAGTCCCTATGGACACCTGAGGTCAGGAGCAAACCAAACAGCTAGCTGGGTATATTCCCTGGTCTCCCTAAAGGGACTAGCTCTGGGCTCAGGCCTGCCCCTCTTCACATAGACCACTCTCTCTTTTGGGGGAGAGCCCCACAGCCCTAGAAAGGAATGAGCAAGAGATTGCAGGGGAAACCAGGATTTCCCTGGTTTCTTCAAAAGTGGCTTACTGATATCTTCCCTTCCCCTCATGCCTCTGTAGGGTCTAGATCAGAAGAATGTGGGAAAAAGGGCTGCAATCTTGAACTAGAACTGGGGCCAGCCACATGAGATACACACACACACACACACACACACACACACACACTGGGGCCTGCAGCCACACTACACACTACACACACACACACACACACACACACACACACACACACACAACCTGAGCCCACTCCAGCAGTTCATCAGCACCTGCCCCCATCGCTATATTCACACCCCCTGGTCCCCACCAGCTAAAAAAATGAACTTGTTTTCACTCCCCACCACCACGTACACACCCAGGGCCTCACGCAGGAACGAAGCCCTCTCCTGAGCTCTCTCTACAGCTCAACGTGCAGGCGCACACGCTTTCCCCCTCTGAACAAAAACACTCTGACATCTACGCGAGGGGGGAAGAAAGCAACCCTCTGCTCTGAAAGGCGCCAACTCCCGGATGTTGGCAAGCTCAGCTCCCAGAGCCTGCTCCGGGTATGTTTACTTGCTCTCCCTCTCCTCTCCCTCCCCTTTAAGGATGGCGCAGGAAAGGGAGGTGAGGGGGGAGAATCCACCCCAACCCCTCGTCCATGTTTGAACAAAAACCCAGAGAAAGAGTGACGGAGAAAAAGTCTTAGTGCAGGGGGGCCTTACCAGACTCCTAAAGCCAAACGTATCTACAGGTTTTAATCCGCCATTAGCATTTAAATCTTGAAGGGGGGGCGGCTAGTGGAAAGTAACCCCACACACAAAAGAAAAGTTGTTGGTTTTCTTCTCAGTCAGCCTGGCAGGAGCGATCTTCCTGGCTGACAGCC